TGAGAGTGAAATATGTCTTGAACCCTGTCCTTCTCATGTGCTTCCTGCCTGAACTCAGGCAGCTGCTTGCACTGTGTGTGGGCCATAAAAAACAAACAAACAAACAAAAACAACAACAACCAAAAAAAAAAAAAAAAAAAAAAAAAACAGAAAAAGACCTCTGTAGATTTATCCAGGCTCTTTTACAGGCAGAGCTGCCCCTGAGCCAGGGAAGCCAGTTCAGAGCCTATTGGATTAATTGCAAAAGCTCCAAGCCCCAGCCAAGACGAGGATCTGGCTGTGCTCGGTGTTGTGTGGCAGTGCAGATGCTTGGGGTGAAGGCTGTAGAAGTATCCCTAACATTCCTCCATGCTTCTGCACCCAGGGAGGTTATAACGTGAGCGGTGCTTGCTGCCTCCCCTCACAATGCACTGCAGGTTTTGTTACAGCAGGGGACAGGTCGTCTGCCTTTTTACATCAGTGGATTTTCATTAAGCGTGTTTTACACTCCAGCAGTGGTTTTGGCACGGTTTATTTCTCCAGCCACGGGGCTCTGCTAGGAGGCATCCAAAGAATCTGAGGCCGTACCAGATAACGATGATGTAGGAAAGTGCCTTTCAGGGACTTGAATTATTCATTTTGCCTCACAGTGATGTGGGGTCCAAGGGTTTCAATCGAGCAAAGAAAGGTTCCCTCTGCTGTAGAATTGCAGCTCTGTTTAAATTTTGGATTGTTGCTGTATGCATACACCTGGAGACACCTTCAGGATAACCCTGCCCCTGCTTACAAAGTGATGGTGGCTCTGAGACCTGGGACGCTCCAAATTTGATCTGCTTTATGTGTCACAGGGCAGGTCCCTTCTCCAGCATCCCCATGGATTCAAACCCCTCCCATGAGTAAGGGAGAACCTTACAATGGTTAAGGGAGTGTCTGGCACTGGGCAAAGCTTGCACGTGGAAGTGGTCACTCTGTTGTCACAAGGCAACAAAGAGAAGTCACTGTTTGTGGAACAAGGTGATGGATCCCTCAGTGACAGGTTAAGTGCTGCCATTGAGTCTTTGGCATTAGCAGCTTAGCTGTGCTCTGGGCAGCACTTTGGCACAAAGTAGGCTTTGGCACAAAGCAGGCTGAAAGAACAAAAACTTTTTTTCTTTTTGTCCTTCTCCTTTTTGCAGTTTGTTTTATCATCCCTTTGAAACACTCAGAAACCCAATGGAAGTAACCTGTGTGCAGCTGATTCAGAAACAACAGTTCAGGAAAGTCAGCTTAGATATTTTAAGTCTTTTGCCATCTTTGCTCAACCTCATAAAAAAGATCAAGAGGGACTTTACTCAGTTGGATAATGACAGGACAAGGGGGAATGGTTTTAAACTAAATGAGGGGAGATTTAGATTAGAGATTAGGAGGAAATTCTTCACTCAGAGGGTGGTGAGGCACTGTCACAGGTTGCCCAGAGAGGTTGTGGATGCCCCATCCCTGGAGGTGTTCAAGATGAGCTTTGACGAGGCCCTGGACAACCAGATCTAGTGGGTGGCATCCCTGCCTGTGGCAGGGAGGTTGGAGCTGGATGATCTTTGAGGTGCCTTCCAACCCAAGCTGTCCTATGATTCTATGAAACTCACCACCCATTTGGACTAGAAACCTCCAGAGGTCACTCCTGACCTAAATATTTTAGTGATTCTATTATCGGACATTTTCCTGATGTCTCTGAGAACAAGAACGGTTACTGAGAAGATGCAGTGGTGGAGGTTCCTGCTTATCCTGAGATGCCTTCACCGTAGGTGTAGGAAAAGAGCTGAAGTTGCTGTAGCCATTCATCTCACCTGCCTCCACCCTAAGATGTTGTGTATTTGCCTCATTAAGGCTTAATTCTTGGCATCCTGCTGTTGGGTACAGTTTTTCTGTTCTTGGGTGTACTCCCATATATGCAGGAGGCCAGCACAGGGGCTATGCATTGCTGTTCCCAAAACAGAGCAGAGTTAAATTTCAGGGGTGCTTTTGACGCTGTATTTAAGCTTTGATTCCCCATTTGCAGCACCCTCTATCACAAGCTCCCGGGGCATTGTGTGAAGCGTCTCAAGGTGTGACAGCATTTGTGGTGCCCTTTCAGAAGTAGCTTTAAACATCTCTTAACTGGATTAGGCAAGCCCTGAGCCCCACCATTTAACTCTGTGAGCCAGGCTAGGTGTCCTGGTTTCAACTGGGACAGAGTTAATTGTCCTCCTAGTAGCTGGCATGGTGCTGTTTTGGATTTGGGATGAGAACAGTGTTGGTAACACGCTGATGTTTTAGTTGTTGCTGAGCAGTGCTTACTCTAAGTGAAAGACTTTTGGTTTCCCACACCAGCCTGCCAGCGGGGGTGCTGGGGGTGCACAAGGAGCTGGGAGGGAACACAGCCAGGACAGCTGGCCCAAACTGGCCGGAGGGATGTCCCACACCATGTGGCAGCATGCTAAACAATAAAACTGGGGGAAGTTGTCTCGGGGAGTGCTGCTGCTGCTCGTGGTCTGGGTGGGCATTGTTCAGCAGGTGGTGAGCAATTGCCTTGTGCATCACTTGTTTTGTACATTCTATTATTATTATTATTATTATTATTATTATTATTATTATTATTATTATTATTATTATTATTATTATTATTATCCCTTCATTTTCTGTCCTATTAAACCGTCTTTATCTCAACCCATTAGTTTTACATTTTTTCCCCCCAATTCTCTCCCCCATCCCACTACAGGGGGAGTGAGCAAACAGCAGGTGTGATGCTGAGCTGCCTGCCGGGTTAAACCACAACACCAGCACATGTTCACCAAGTACTCAGGCATCTGGGCCACGGGTGGTCACAAATGGTTTACACACATGCTGCTCTAGCTGTTATTGTTTTTAGTGGCCTCAGCATTGCCTGGAGAAGCAGGAGCAGCATTGCAAGAGCCGTGCCTCTCCGTGTTGGCAGGGAGTGCATGGAAATAGAAGAGGATACCTTCCCCAGTTGCGAGGTCAACCATTGAACCTGTGTCTGGTTCCTGGGGCATGGTCACCTCCTGGTTTTGTGGTGGGACAGCTCTGGGTACACATGGCTTCTGTGCTGGAAAAGCGTGTGCGACTGTGGGATCAGTCCACAGAGCACGTGCAGTTCAGATGTATGAGAGCCCACGGGCTGTGTACCCATCCCCATCAAAACCCAGTCCCTGCTGTGGGGCAATCCGTAGCTTGGTCACATCTTTCCAAAGCCTTTCTCCACCAAGAGAAGTGCTTTTCTTGGAGATTGCAGATATCCTATGAAATCTGTGTTGATGTGAAAAATAAGAAGTTCTGGCAACAGCTGACAGGCCCCAGAAACGCTCCCTGTGTTTTATCTGAGCACCAGCATGAGAAACTAATCCCAGCAGTTGGTAAATGTGGGCCTTGAAGAAGGAGTGGGACTGGGGCAATAAGGAGGGAAGAAAGATGAGTATATCAGGAGAAAGAGAAGGTGTAAGATGATACAGAGAGTATCGTCTCTGAGATGCATCACTAGAGACTGGTGAGCAATGAGTTTGTGTCTCAAAAGGCTTGGCTTGACCAGAAAAGGATCGGGGGGTTGGAGTTTGGGAGGTGATGCTGTGCAAGAAATGTGCTGTAGCCACGCTGGTCGAAGCAGCGCAGTCCTACTATTGCTGTGAATGCACATCCTCAGCTGGCATGGTTTCGGTCACTGCTCATGATGCCAAGGAAAACCAGGCTGGAGGTGGGTGAGCTTTACTTTCTGTGCCTCTCCTCCAAGCTGTTTCTCAGAGTGGGTGTCAAGTGGGTCATTCTTCCGTGAAATACTGAAAGGTTTGGACCTGATAAAAGCACTTCTGAGTACAAGCCTCTCTGCATCCATTTGTAACAGGCCAGGAATGTGAGTGATGGGGAAGTTTTCTCACTTCTACTTTCCAGTCCTCTCCCACCCCTGAGGCTTCCTCTCTGCCCTCAAGCTGCTGATGCAGTGAGTCTGCTCTGTCAGGCTTGCCAGGGCTGACACTGTGCTGGAATTATCACTCTCCAAGCCTGGGTTTGCTGCTTTTTGAGGTCTGGAGTAGCCTCCAGTCTAACCTCAGTGGAGACTGTGTTGGAAGTGCCACCAGCAGTCTGGGTGCAGGGTGGGCAAGGACGCTCAGCTCGCCGGTGTCAGCCACAGAAGAGGAGACAGCACAGGCAGAGAGCTGTAGGCTGGTACCTGCAATGCTGCAGCATTTCTGCAATCGACACCCGAGCTAAACAGATCTGAAGCAGTCCTGGCTGCTTGTTCACCTGCCCTGGTCCACAGCAAACAGGATCAGAATGGCTCAAATGTTCCTACCTGGCCATGTGTGCCTGCCTGCCTCATGGGCAGTGCAGGGGTGGACAGCTGGCTGGATTGTCTGAGGAGCTGCTGGAAGGTCCCGTTGTTTGGTGGGAAAAGTCTCTGGGTGTACTATTTCCAGGGCATTCTGACGGGGAAGAGAACTCACCATTGTCAGCATGTCAGGTCAGGTTTATGTTGCATGCTCAGGCTGCTGTGCGCACCTCCCTTGATTGGCATGTTCAACTTGCAGACCCAGCATACCAACGAGGAGAGAAGCTGCTTGCTTCCTGCATCTGTCTGTGCCTTATAAACCTTCTCTGTGCGAATTTCAAAGTACAAAACCTCCTACTGCTCCGTGGCAAGCAGGGAGGATTGCATATTGCTGGGCTTGTAGAACTTTTCCAGGGGAATAAGGCTCTGTTTGCCCCAAACCTAGGCTCATTTTGCCTGGGAGTTGTCTCTCTCCAGTTTTGCTGTCAGAGATGCTCCACTACATGGTTTCTAATTATGAATTTTTAGTGATCAGTGGAAACCCTAACTGCTCCCTTTAAACAGCCAAATTCAGGATCTGCTGACCCTTGGAGAGCCCTGCCACTGCTGGAAGAAAATTCAGTAGCTCCAAATGGCAATAACACGTCTGCCTGCATGCAGCGAAGGGATATGGGTCATATCCAGACCAGCATCTGACTGAGACCTCTCTCTCTCTCTCTTCCAGCTCCTTCAGCTGTGTCTATCATGCACCAGGTCAGCCGCACCGTGGACAGCATTACCCTCTCGTGGTCTCAGCCTGACCAACCCAATGGAGTCATCCTGGATTACGAGCTGCAATATTATGAGAAGGTACTGCGGGACCTCGGCAGGGTTCAGCTGCAGGGTTTGGGGAGAGGAGGTGGTGCAAAGGGCATACCCTGGCTGCTGCATTTGTCTAACCACTACTGAGGAGGTTATTTCTCTCGCTGCAGCTGGCCAGGTGGGTGGCACTGGCTGTCAACCTTTTGGAGCCCAGTGTGGTTCCAGGGGACCCTGCCTGATGCTTAGGCACTGCGTGTAAGGAACATACTGCACTGCTGATTTGATTCAGTGGGAGGCTGATGTGTAGGGTGTGTAGGGATCACACAGCTCTGACTCTTTCCTCCGTGAGGAGCATGTCCCTTCCACCTCCTCCCAGTGGAGGAGTGGTGTCCTATGAGTCTGGAGCTGTGTGGCTGCTGAGGGCCATGCTGATGTTGGTCCCAGGACCTGCCAAGCTCTGCATGGCTGCTGAACTTCATCTGTGATACCCAGGGGAGGTGGGGACTGGTAAGCAGGATATTTCTCCTTCCAAGAGCCTGCCCCCTTGCACAAGAGCTTATAAACTATATGTTAAAAATGCAAACTAACTAATTAAAAAGCTTTATGATTAAATGGAACTGATTTTTTTTCCCAGCAGTTGCTGGAAGAAATGATTAATCCCCCCCACTGCCTGCCTGTGACCTATTTTCTCATCACCAAGAGCCAGAGGGAGAATGGGGAGGTGGGGGAGCTTCTTCGTAGGCTGTTAAATAGGTCCTGACCTATATTGCATAAATCACAGCCTTTTATTTGACCCTTGGAAATGATCCCAGAATATGTGGCAAGATGGATGAGAAAGTAAGAAGACAGATCTGGAAAGCAAGAGGGGTCCTTTCTCTGGGGACACGCAGAATGATCTCAAGGAGTTCTTTCTCCCAATCTTGCTTTCTCTTAATCTCATCCTCTTTCTTTCTTCCCCTTCCCCTTGGTTTTCTGGGGGAGGCTGTAAACAGAGGGAGTTTTTGACTAAAGGGGAAGCTGCTGTTCATAGCCTCTCTTGGCAGCCAACCACAAGGTAATCGTGTATAAGGTAATCCCCCTGTTGTCAGAGATTTTGACACAGTTTGTCCCTGATCACAAGGACAAGCAGCCCGAGCCACACTTGTGCAATGGTTTTCTTGGCACTCGATTCCTGGGAGGGTGCTGGCACTGGCAGAGAGGACAGCACCAGCTGCCCCACGTACTGTTGCTGCAGCTCTCTCTGCCCTGGTATTTGAACATCTTGGTATATTTTTTTTTTTTTGCCAGTGCTTTGGTTGAAGAACAAAAGTGTGTCTTTATCTCCACAAAGTTGTATGTCATTCTCAGAAGGCATGTCCCTAAACTACTCTTTGTTAGCCTTTACTCTGAAGTCCCAGTTGCACACACAAGGTTTGATCTGGTAGCAGTCAGCAGCAGCCAATGTATTCAAGTGCTTCAGCTGATCAGTGCTGTGGATTCAGGATGTTTTACTACGGATCAGTTCTGGATTCACTAACTCTCCTCCTTTGCCATCCCATAGTGTCCTGAGTGTTGAAGAGACAGCTTCATTAGAGCTACAACCTCTCTGCTAACACCCAGACTGCTGCTGTCCATACAGACACTCATTTCTCACCCCAGAAGAGCCTGGGAGCTATGGGCCCCGTGGATCCATCCCCAGAGTTGCCAGCAGGGCCCTCCTACCACCTCTGAGCATCCTTCTTGATGGGGCTGAAATTCAGACGTGTTATTAGTTGGTATCCAGCTATGGGCTAGCTTTGTATGTGTGGCACTGTTTGCTTCAGGAACCACAGCAGATTGCTGCTGTTGACACGCACAGAGCAGCTGTCTGCCAGATTAAGCTGGTTGACATTTTATTTTTCTTTGCTTTCTTTTTTTTTTTTTTTTTTTTTCTTGGCTGATAAAACATGAAGCCACTTCTGCAAATCCTTTGGGCATTTCACAGACTATGTGCGTTTCAAGAAACTCTTTGTAGATCAGCCTTGGGTTTCGGCTTAGATTTGGCTTAGAGGAAGGGGAATCAGATGAGGACTCAAGATCAAATCTATCAGGAAGTTAGAAGTATGTTATTTTGAATTAGGATTTCCAAACTCAAACCAAAAGCAGCAGGAAAAGCCTTGCAAAAGCAAGGTAGGAGAAACGGCCAAGGGGCTTAGACTTTAAACCACTTGGGATGCCCTGGACATGCCAGAGAAGCTCAGAAGAGTAAAAGAGCAGTGTCTGAAGTGAACAAGCAGGTTGCTGGAGTGATGATGTCTAAGCAATATGCCAAAGGGAAAAAGTAGGTTTGATAAGAGATTTGGCAAGCCATTCTAAAGTTTTACCCAGCTAGGCTTCATGGAAGGTGCTAGGGAGGTTTGAGGAGAGTGGTTATACTGGAGTTACGCTCACCCTGGTTCCAGCTATGGGACTGTGGAGACACATAAATGCTCCTTCCTTGCAAGAGGGCATTAAAAGAGAGCACAGGCATGAACACAGCTTCCTGAGACAGACAGACATCAGTTTCCTAGCCTATAAATCATCCTAAGCGTGCCTATGGCATTCAATTTAAAGTCCTCCAGGATGAGGGTCTGTGGGGATGAGGTTCCCTCGAACAGTTGGGCAAATGATTTTAAAACAACCACGTTAATGCCATCCAAAGGCCTGGGAGGTTTCATCCGAGCCCTTGGGCACTATAACTGTAAACACTTGCTGACCTATTTCTCTCCTCACCTTCCTGGGAAAAGGTCCAAGGGAGTGTTGAGGCCTGCTCAGGCAAACCAGGCAGTAAGTTTTCTGTGAGATCTTTTTATCTAAGCACCTGTACTGGAGCTTTTCACTGTCATTAGTCTTAAGTACCAATCACCCCAATGATACCCAAGCACCTTCAGTGCCAGGTCTACATGGCAAAACTGTTCCTGAACACTGTAAATGGTGGAGTCTCAGGCATTTGCAGAGCTGCTGTGTGTTACGCTGCAGTGAGATGCCATCAGCAGTGCCAAGCCTCCAAGTTTGACTGCACACTTGGAGAAATCCATTCCTGCCAGACCACTCTCTTACCAGCTACCCACACCAGAGCACTGCTGAATCAAAAACTTAATACATGAAGAAGTAAACTCCCTGAATGTTCTCTTTGTCTGCTTTCCAGCTATAGTCTGCACAAACCAAGGTCATGAGTGTAATCTATCTCGTAAATGCCAGTGCACTTGCAATTCTACTCCAGCATGAGCCACCAGACTCTCCCATCAACGTGAAGAGGATACTGGTGCAGCAGACTGCTGTATGCAGCACCACAGGGAATGGCTTTTCTTTATGGGCCTCTGATGCTGCTCATACCCCAGCATCTGGCTGCAGAGCATCCTCTGGAACAGCTTGTGAGTGAGGGCACCAGATCTGTTCTCAGAAGTGGCTGAACATGAAAACAAAGTCAACAGTGTGCAGGGAGGAAAAGAAAGGAGATCAGCTGCCCTAAAGGCAAGCTCCATCATTCAGTGGTGGCTGAGACAATCTCTGACTCATCCTGTGCTCCAGCAGCTGAGAGGGCTAAGACAAGAGCATGACACAGCCCCTTCCAGGCAAGGAGCAAACAAAGCTGCGTGGCTCTACATTGACTTTTGCTTCATCAAAAGCAAAGGCAGCCAAAGCAGTATGAGAGCAACAGAGTGCACAAGTTGCACCACGGTGTGAGGAAATCTCAAACACAAGAAGAGGGCTTGTGCCTGATGGCCTATTTAATACCTTCTGTCCTTCAGGAATCCATTGCTGAAGACATTGGTGAGGAGGAATGGATGTGTTTCTCACTTTCCTTGCTGAGAGTCTCACTTTGATCTCATGGTAGCACGAAGAAATTCCTCCCTGTCACCCCAGTGGAGTTTCACAGCTGGGAGAAGTCCCTCAATCACAGGTCCCACTTGATGGGGTTGTGCAGCCCCTGTCTGTGTGACTTCTTTGTCAGTCCCTGCCTGCTTGCTCATGAGAAGTGAGGTTATCTCACCTCGCTGGCAAGCCTGTGCTGGGTGGGATTTGTTGGGCTTGCCGAGCCCTTTGCAGTGACTTGAAGTTAGTAGTTCTCAGTAACTCCCTTGTGAACTTGCCAGCGCAGATTTTGAGCTGTCAGCTACTGATCTGTTGCAACCAGTGATCCTGCCAAGGCAACCTGACCTGCCAGATTGGAGGTGTTACCGGAAAGGATAAGCACTTGCAGCATAGCTACAGAAATGTCATTTAGAAATCGGTGTCTGTGTGTGTGTGTCCTTTTGTGGGGGAATCACACTCACAGCTCGTCTTCAGTTCCTTGGGTTTGAAATCTTAACCATGGTTACTGGTGAAGCAGGCCTTGTGCGGAGGGGTGGTCGCAGTACTTCTCCTGAGGTCCCAAACCCTTTGTTCAGGTGGGCTTTACCTCCAGCATAGGCCTAAGAAAGTGGGGAAGATCAAATAGACAGGGTGCTGGGGCTGGATCAGACACAGGACCGAGTGGCGAAATGGTGCTAACAGAAAGTGGGTGCAGAAAAGGGGAGCAATTCTTATTCCCATTGAGCTCAAGACTTGGAGACCTGGTGTTTGAGGCTGACACCTTTATCAGAGCATTTCCTGAGATGTGGCATTTAGCCAAGTGATGTCATTACTCGCATTCCTTCTTCTGTAGTTCCCTGTTGGCAGACAGAGTTGGAGAAATGAATGTTTTGCTAAGGTCTGTGGTTTTCCCAGTCACCGAACCTGTGCCACCCATTCTGTCTCGTTCTGTGTTTTCTTCTAGACATGCCATGCCTGATTCTGGAGCAGGGTCTAGAGCCTGGGCTCTCCCTTCTGATGACATGTGTGTATTTTCTTGGCAGGATCTTAGTGAATTAAATTCAACAACAGTGAAGAGCCCCACCAACACTGTGACAGTGCAAAACCTCAAAGCTGGAACCATCTACGTCTTCCAAGTGCGGGCACGTACTGTGGCTGGGTATGGCCGGTATAGTGGCAAGATGTATTTCCAGACCATGACTGAAGGTAAGTCTTCAGCTGTCACTGCATAAATGTGAAATAAGGTCTACAGAGACTTGAACGAGATGGAGATACATGGGTAGTGGTGCTTCTCCCCTTCCTGGTAGTCCCATCAAGGGTGCATTGACAAGTCACATGCATTTATTCAATCTGGCAAGAACTGGTGAGGGACATGGGTGCTTGGTGGTCCATGCAGGGAATCACACAGTCTAGGCCAATTTCTGCCGTGCTTTTCTGGCATGAGGACCCGTCCATTCAGTTGGATTTAGAGGGAACAAAATTTATGATGTTCATCTGCAGAGATGTTGATGATAAATACAGCTTTGGGTCTCTACTTGCCAAATTTGTGCAGCTACAGAAGACAAGTCAAGCCAGTTTTCTGGCCCTGAGGCCAAGTAGCAAGGCACAGCATGCTTCCACGGGACTGACTTTCCCACCCAAAAAGGATAGCTCCATCCAGCCTTCCTGCTGGGGAGCATCCCCCTCACAGCCAACATGAGTCACGCTTGGGACAGGGCTAGCTAGCCCAGAAAAAATCCATGCCAAGAAACATGTTAGCAATAACCATGCAAATACAGGCCATTGCTCAGGCCTGAGCTCTGGCCCTGATGCATGTATTAGTGTCTACCCACCCTGTAACCAGTGCAGTAACGCATTCTTTCTTCCTTGCATGTCAGCTGAGTATCAGACCAGTGTCCAGGAGAAGCTGCCACTCATCATCGGCTCCTCTGCAGCAGGACTGGTGTTCCTCATTGCTGTAGTCATCATCATTATTGTGTGCAATAGGTAGGTCAGTCTGAGTGCAAAGCCTGAGCTCACATCAGCCTCAGGGCTGGGTACCCAGAGGCTCGCTGTGTGAGGGGACGGCAATTAGAGAGGAAGGGTGGCAGGGGTAGAAGTGGGGATGATGGAAACAGGAAGGGAAAAGCACGTTTCTCAGCCTCGATCAGTCTGTGCACGGTGCTTAGGAATGCCTTTCTTTCCAGAAGACGGGGCTTTGAACGTGCCGACTCCGAGTACACTGACAAGCTGCAGCACTATACCAGTGGCCACAGTACGTACCGTGGTCCCCCACCAGGCCTGGGGGTCCGCTCTCTCTTGGGTTTGTGTTCCTGTTCACTCATTCCTTGTGTTGTGCGGGAAGGGCTCAGGGTCTCTAGCCAGGCACGTGTGTGCATGTGAAAACAAGAGGACCTTTGTGCTGGCCAGGGCTCCAAGAAACATGGCCAGATCCTTTCTTTGATCCTTGCCTTAAGAAAGCTTCTGCCCTTGGGGTCTAACAAGGTGGAGCTTCTTCAGGAAGCCACTGGAGAGATCTGGACTGCATTGTGTGCCTTTGGCTTATGTCCACTTACCCTCCCTTCTTCTCCTCATTTCAGTATGCATCTACTGAATCCTGCCTCTGCTTCCCTATGCCCTTCTAGACGTGTTCTGTAGCATGCTGTGTGCATCTCTGAACCAGCATATTGCATCCCCCAGAATGACATTCATAGCTCGGAGTGACATTCATAGCTTGGATCCCCACTTTCATCATCTAGATCTCCTCACCTGTTCCCTGTGCTCTAGGTCTCTGTCCTGCTTAGTAAAGCTGATGCTCTCCAGACCTGTGTGCTTTTGGGTGCTGACCATGAAGTGGGCACCCATGCATGCTCTACAGACCCCTGCAACATCAAACACAAACCCTTTCATGTGCCCCCAAAACCTCATTCTCTTCTGCTGTGCAGCCCCTCCCAACACACCCTATCTTGCTGCTCGGATTCCTGAGCTTTTCCCAGTTTGTGGGCAGCAGAGAGACCCTTTCCCCAGCTTGCCTACATCCTGTGGACCATAGCCCATACCATTGCTTCCAGGATCCTAGTAGATATGATTTATCCATCTATATTTTTACATATATATATAAATATATATATATATGCCATGTTATGCATTGTATCTGTCTATATAATAGACATTTTTATATCTGTAATGTTATATATCTGTATCTGTAATAGATACAATACAAAACATGCCCTTTCTTGCAGCCTGCCTCTTCTGATATACCCATGCACTGCAAGACACTCCTCACACCCAGCATTCCTGCTTTCAACCTCTCTGTGCAGCCTGCCTCACCCTCGTTCTCCTCATCAACCCCTGGCTGCATGCCCTCTCCAATGGCTTTTTCCTCCCTCACTAGAGATCACTGAAATTCTGCTTTGTCCATATCTCTGTTATTGTTTACATTATTATACTTAAAGCTTCAGGATTTCTGTCCTTTTTATACCTTGTTCCTGTACAGACCTGGGCCTTATTCAGAAAATGGTTGTGCATGTAGTAAATCAGTAATGTTTCTGCACAGGACTCACTGCTGTTTCTGCATTTACCTTGGAAAAATATTCTGAAAGGCAGGGTACTGAACTGCAACTCTGTGCCTGAACAGCAGTGTTCTGGCTGCATTGCTATAACTTACCAGTAAAAATGACACTCTTCAAGAAAGATTATGTAAATGCAACTCTCAGTTGTTTGTCAGTCCTTGCTGCATGTGTAAACATACATTCACACTTTCTCCCAGGGTCTGGTGTGTAACATGACAGCTTCAGGCTGGGATGGCATTAATAGCTGTGCCTTCACAACTGTTGGAATAGGCTAGATGCCACCAGATGAACTGTTAACAGGCCTGGGGTGCATTTTAGCCATATCGTCATTCAAGACACCGATACGAGGCACAGTCCCTCCTCAGATTCCCAGCAGTGACTGCTGCAGAAAGGCTACAGCTTTTGGTTAGCAGATTGCCAAGGCACAGTCTGTAAGCCTTTACATTGCAGCAGCTCGCCTGAATGGGTCTGACCAGCATCCTACACGTGGACCTGGGAGCTGTGCCACTGGTTCTGTGCTGGGCTCCTTATTTAGTGAGTTGTGGTCTCTTCTCTACAGGACTCCCAATTTGGGGTCTGGCCAGAGCCCAGAAAAGTGAGTATAGAAAGGCCAATAGCTCCCTGCTGTGTGCCAACTGTGGGCCCAATGTTTATTAGAAGCCAGGCCTGTGCAAACCTGGCTCTGCATGTTGTTTCTCAAACTTCTTTGCTGTGTCTGCTTCACACCCTTGATTATGCAACCTCCTGAGGTTAAAAAAAAAAGACCCTCATCATCAACAGCATTTTGGTCCACCTCATGGACACGCATCTTTGTGCACAGAAACACACACACACACACACACACAAACCTGCCCACACGTGCACGTGTGTGCACACAACCCCATGTACACAAATAGGTTTCTCTAGTCCTTGATGCCAGCCGTTTGTCCATTTGTGTCTGTCTGACTCTCTCCCTCACCTTTATGCAGTGACTCCAGGGATGAAGATTTATATTGATCCATTTACCTACGAAGACCCCAATGAGGCTGTCAGGGAATTTGCAAAAGAAATCGATATCTCGTGTGTGAAAATTGAGCAAGTGATTGGGGCAGGTAGGTAAACTGTGAATGCCTGGCTGCCCCTCAGCAGCACAGTCTCCTTTGTGGTATCAGACTTCGGTGAGGATTTAACCTTACATTTAGTGGGAAAACTACTGTAAGTAAGGTCTTATACTTAGCCTGCCTGGACTAGCAGCAACATGGTGGTCTCCGGAGGACACCCAGTGCTGGAGACAAGGAATTCCTGTGTGTGCACAGTGTCCAACACTCCTCACCAAAGGATGGAGGCCTTTGCTGTGGCACGAAGGAGGAAATCCAAAGCAGTGGTCGGCTCAGGGGTGTTCCTCACGGGGTCCCTTAGGAACGGGGTCCCACAGGGAGGAAGGCAGAGATCCAAAAGGCCAACAAGCCTTACCTGTTTCTCTCTGTTCACAGGGGAGTTTGGTGAGGTGTGCAGTGGGCATCTCAAGCTTCCCGGCAAGAGAGAGATCTTCGTGGCCATCAAGACGCTGAAGTCTGGCTACACAGAGAAGCAGAGACGGGATTTCCTGAGCGAGGCCAGCATCATGGGGCAGTTCGACCACCCCAACGTCATCCACCTGGAGGGGGTAGTAACCAAGAGTTCACCAGTCATGATCATTACTGAATTCATGGAGAATGGCTCACTGGACTCCTTCTTGAGGGTATGAGATTGCAGGAGCACACAGGCCCAGAGAAGGGCCAGAGGAGACCTGGAGTGGGGGGTCCTTCCCTGTGCCACTATAACTGTGCCCAGAAACTCCTGGCACTGGGGCAGCTGCTGCATGCTGCAGAGGTCTGTGGTCTCAGGAAAAGAAGCGGCACAAGAGCTGTCATGTTACATGTGTTTGTTCACTTGTACTAAAGAAGTGCCACTCAGTTTCAGAGGGCTGTTACATAAATCCACATACAAAAGACACGTGGAGCATGTTGGAGCCTGGTGGCCCCTCTGCAGGCAATCTAGCCTTTCAGATCTTTCTGTGCATCTTACACAGCATCACCCTGAGGAAAAAGCTGAGCACCCTGTTTTGTGATTGGTGAGGGGTGAGGTGTACCCGAATAAAAATGCATGCCCAAAGGCCTTTGTAACCAGGCCACAAAACAAGAATCACCCCGATTATCAATAAAAATGCATATTGTTCCCAGGGTGTGAATGTGGGTGGATCAGGTTATGTGTTACAGTATGACAAAATGCAGCACGTTGGTAGATGATGGGGATACAGCACATGCAGCTGTGCCTACATGTATGCATGCCCACAGATACATTTACAAACTCTGCCTCTGTGGGCATGGAGGTGAGTTCTGCCAGATCTTTTACACAGCAGAGCTTCAACTCCAGCTGCTTTGTCTAAATATTTACACATTTGAGTCTGAGATGAATAAATCACTGTGTTGACTGGATGTTGAATTCACCTGATAGGAATAGATTGCCTCTTCTGTGCAAGGTGTGGCAGAGATCAGACCACAGCCGTTGGCAGTGATGCTTGTAGGACATGAGGGTGACTTCCAACCCCTGTGAGCTCTTGACTCTCCACACTCTTATTTTGAGAAGGAACTTAACGGTGCTTGTGGAATAGCTGTGCCATAATGGGGTGTAAACAAAGTGTTCGCCTGGCAGGCTGTGAATTGCTCCTCTCATGCAGATTCTTTCCTTTTCCCCTAAGCAAAACGATGGGCAGTTCACCGTGATCCAGCTGGTGGGCATGCTGCGGGGTATCGCAGCAGGCATGAAGTACCTGGCCGATATGAACTACGTGCACCGGGACCTGGCTGCCCGCAACATCCTGGTGAACAGCAACCTGGTCTGCAAGGTGTCTGACTTCGGCCTCTCCCGTTTTCTGGAGGATGACACTTCTGATCCCACCTACACCAGTGCACTGGTAAGGCTGCTTTTAGAGCGGGAGGGATGGGTGAGGAAGGAAAGAGTCAGGGAAAGAGAGAAAGGGGACATCTCCTGTTGACATTGAGAAGACTTTTCTCAGGGTGCCACAACAGGCATAATGTGCCAGATGGCAAAGATAAATTAAATTAACCAAGAAAGATTTTCTATTGCCAGTTGTCATTCCAGTGGCTGTTGATGAGCTCTGTAGCCATGTCTATGGATAACTGAACCTTCTTCCAAACGTGTCTGCAAACACATCCATGTCTCTGATAAAGCCTTTAGATGTGGATAATGAAATATCCCGTTCCAGCATGGCCCAGCTTGGGGTCCTGCAAGATGCCACCCTGACAGATTTGTTGCTAGGGCAGCAAGTCTCTGTATTTTTACCATTACTGTCCAACTGTGCTGTCCTGCTGTCTGGGAAGCCATGATCGTTTTTCATGTCATGTCATGGGCTCAGCCCCAGAAATGACAGACTGAAGTGTGAATGCTTGCTGGGCAAAGCCATGCAGTACTAGACACTGATCTCACAGAAAATCTTTCTAAATTAGAGAGAGAAATAATTTCAAAAACAGCTTCATGATCACGTAACAGCTTCCCAGGAACACCACAATACCAGTGACACAAATGCCACTGAGGACTCGTGGCCTGTCTTGGAATACAAAATGTGTACCAGGACCAAGGACTTATCTGAAGACTTTCATGTTCAGTAAGACTGCAGCCAGTAGTTTTCCCAAGTACCATTTTTTTTTTTGCAAAGGCATGGAGCATCACTCCAGTGCGATGCCTATGATAGGACTTCTTGGAAATGAGTGTTGATATAGCTGGAGCAGGATCTGTAGGAAATCATCTCTCACCAGTCTTTTGAAGCTGCTAGTGGTGAGATGTCTGGCATAGCTCTTTTGAATTTTAACAGTGCTTGAATACCTAAAAGCTAAAGTTTTAATTCTTTTTATTCTGCTCCTGAGGTAGCTAGGTGACAGCAAAATGATGGAGGGAGATTCAAAGAGAAACAGTTTGAATTTTTCTAATTTCACAGACATTCATTTTTCTACAAAAGACTCTACCAGCACAATAGGCATTTTGGCATGATGAAGATAACTGTACAGCAGTAGGCAGATGGAAGGAGCAGGGCTTATTTAATATAATGAAAAGGAGGCTGAATGGATGCCTAAAGCTGACCTGCAGTACTTGAAGAGCAGTTATGAAGAAGACAGAGTCAAACTCTTTGCAGTGCTACCAGATGATATCATATGGGGCAATAGACAAAAATGTAGCTTGGGATGTTCAAGTTGAATATAGGAAAAGCTTCTTCCCTGAGAGGGTGGTACAGCCCTGCACCAGATCACCAGACAAACTGGGGGGGATCATCATCCTTGAAGGTTGCCAAGACCTGGTTAGACAAAGGCATGGCCATCCTGATTTAATTTTAGGCATAGTCCTGAGGTCCCTTCCTTCTAGGATTTCACCAGTTGGATGAAAATATGTTGGACACATCTTTTTCAGTTGTTCTTTCTTTTTCTGCTACCATCCTCTCTCTCTTTTTTTTTTCTTTTCTTTTTTTTTTTTTTCCTGCAGGGTGGAAAGATCCCAATACGGTGGACAGCACCTGAGGCAATTCAATACCGAAAATTCACATCAGCTAGTGATGTGTGGAGCTATGGAATAGTCATGTGGGAGGTGATGTCGTATGGAGAGCGGCCTTACTGGGATATGACCAACCAAGATGTGAGTTACTAAGAAACAAGGAGCAGGAATACTGAAATCAGGAGCAGATTGCAAGGCCAAAGCATGGTTATATCTGGACTCAGCTGATGGCACGTCCAGAACCTTCCCTGTTATGGGAGATGTGTCCATCTTTGGAAGAAATAGTGGGATTTTCTTTGACCTTTGTTCTGGTCCCATTGTGCTGCTGTCGCAGAAGTTAGAGACTGTATAAACCCTACTGCAGTAGGATCAGATTAATGTGAACAACCTCAGTTATGGCAGACAGATACCTGGGAGGAAAGGGAGGAGACAGTTAAAAAAATAAAAGTTTCCACTAACATGACAGCTCCTGAAGCACCTCCAAGTCCACCCATCTGTGGACTCTTGAATTTGTAGGCTTCCCTGCCTTACAGGAAAAGAGAGTAAGACCCAAGCTCCCACCCGGTTTCACAACTCCTCCCACCTGCATGGCAAATTAGACATTTTTCAGGTCAATACAACTCCACCCACACCATGTCAGGTTTCTTCAGAGAAGGGCAAATTCCCCAATTTTGTGGTGCTCTAATTGCTCAAGTGAGTCCCTAATGCCTGAAGCAGATGATATTTTAGCACCTTTTGCTGTACATGGCCTTGTCCCGGCCCCTGGCATACTTGAAAAGTTTTTTGTCTCAATTCTCTGGCCACAAAGAAGGGTGTTAGAAGTTATGCCCTTCTCCGAAATGCCAATTTCCTTCCCATTCACATTAGGGTTTCATTATCACTTGCTGTTTCAAGCATTTACTGCAGACAAACGTTACTGCTCCTCTCCCTACCCTGGTATCCCTCTGTATGCTCGGCACTCTGCTGTCCCCTCCTGGAGGCCTCCCCAGCCTCTTCTCCCGCTGCTTGTGCCACAGAGCATCGTGCCCCAGAGGCTGTCACCACTTAATTGCTGCTGGTGCGCCCTGCACGTTAGCACATGGCACATACTCACTGTAGTTTAGCCTCCTGACCCTATGGTGTGAGTGCCTGGGGTGGCAGGATTGAGAATAGAGAGAGCAGCCTGTGCCCCCTTGCGGGTTGTGTCTTCTGGCTGCAAGGCAGGAGGTTTCTTGGGAAATTATGCAGTCGATGTCAGAGCCAAGTGCTTGATGTCTGCGTCTCCCCAGAGCTGCTCTCCCCTGCTCTCCCTCCCCTCCTGTCTCAGATGGATCCCCCATCCAGAGAGAGAGCTGGGAGAGGGGACAGCTTGCACCTCTCAGGAGAGTCCCTGAATGGGAGCCAAGAGCTTCGCAACCCACAGCAGTGATTTCTCAGGTTAGGCCTTCACAGGCCCAGTGGGTCACCTTCTTATCCAGCCAGCGCTGCCTCTTGGAGGAAGGAGAGGCAGAAGGACTCGTTCCATCTGGCAGATGTGGACAGCAGCAGTGCCAGCCCCAAGCTGTCTTGGATCAGCCTGCCCAGCATCCTGGCTAAGCACAATGCGTGGAGCACTCCACTACTCTATCCTCTTCCTGAAGCCACAATCCATCTTCAGCCCTTCAAAATACCCCACTTCTCACCCCAGACTGCCTGCTGTGGATCTTCCACTTACCCTCCCTTGGAGTGGCAGCTTTCTACTGCCACAGCACTCTCAGTATCACCCCTGCCCTGCTCCCATCTGCAGTATCCTCCACTTTCTCTATGCAGCCTTCCTTCTCGACAACATATTCGTGCTGCTGTATGGATATGACTGTCCTTCCATGGCGAGGCATTACAGCCTTGGGGTAGCTCACCAGGCAAGTAAGGAGATTTCTGTCCTTAGTAGTGTGCAAGACATACCTGAACAAAGCTGTGGCTGCCCTGATCAAGTAGTGAGACCAGATAGAGACATCAAGGTCATTCTACCAGCCCTGTTGGGGTTCTTTCAGTTCTTTCCCCTTTTTTTATCATCCCCATGGAGAGTTCGTCATTTCAAAGTGTTGTCCCTGATTTCAGTTACTGAAATATCCTCAGTTCTGCTTTTTATCCTTGCTTCTGTTTTTTTTTGTTGCCATGAAAAAGCCTGTTTCTAATGTACATGTACAAAGTTTCTGCTTTTCTTTCAATGCCCCTTCTGTGTGTATGACCCTATGATGCATAAAGCCAGGAGGGAAGGGAGTTGAAGGTCTGTCACATTCTTCTGTCAAGAGAACATATGCCCCTGGAAGAAAGCATGGACCTCTGTCTTCCTTGATCACCCAGGGGAGGTTTTGGGCTGTGCATGCAGAATAGGGAGCTGGGGTTCCTCTTGAAGAAGATCCTCTAATCTTGAGCATGTGCTATTTCCACTGAACATGGCAAGACCGTGTATTTTCCCAGGTCCTGTAGAAAAGATCAGACAAGTGGCAGGCAAAACCTTCTTGTGTTGGCCCACAGAACTGTAGCTTGGCGTAGGCGAGATGTGCTCCAACTCTTCCCTGCATGCCATAGCAAAGTTCTTCTGCATGTGGCTCTGCTGACCCAGGTGTCTGTCCTACTCACCTGTGTGGATGAAGCTGTGCTTCAATCTGTTGCACAAAGGTCTGTAGAGAAATCCAGCTCTCATTGCTGGTTCAGTGCACTCAGCCCAGGGAGTTCTGCATGGAAAGGTTGGAGTGTATGCAGGAGCAGAAAGCAGCAGCGGAGGAAGGAAAATAGGGACGGCTTCCTTGGTCCTTAACTCACTTAAGAGCAGCCCCTTTCCTAGATGGGGTTGTTCTCCCTGTGAGTTACTATGGTGTGGTGTGGTGTATCCTGATATAAACATGGTGCTTGGCCACAGAGTGCCCACCCAGACGAGAACATGAACTCTCTGTCATGAGATGACATGAGAAAGGCTGGGAGTTAGAGGGTATTGTGTTGCTACAAGAGTAGTTTGCTGAAACAGGCTACAGTTAAGTGTGTGCAGAGCAGCCCTGTTGCACTGTGGTTGGCCATGACAGTCACCCTCAGGAGCTGAGAAAAGGAACATTATGAATTAAATAAGTGCCTCTTTGGCCACCTCCTCCATTCAGGGATGAAGATGTTATTGCCACTGTATTGATCTCTTTTTCTCTTGTCACAGGTAATAAATGCAATTGAGCAGGACTATCGGCTGCCACCCCCCATGGATTGTCCAAATGCCCTGCATCAGCTAATGCTTGACTGTTGGCAGAAGGACCGAAACCACAGACCCAAATTTGGGCAAATTGTCAACACTTTAGATAAAATGATCCGAAATCCTAATAGCCTGAAAGCCATGGCACCTCTCTCCTCTGGGTATGCATCTTATCTTGTCTTTTGGCTTCTATTTGCAGATCTACCATCCTTTGTGGCCTGGTGGGCACAATCCCTGCACCTCTCTGAGCTAGCTATTATAGAGGCTGCTTGACCTGTGTAGTTTGGACCTTTATGGGAGGATGTCAAAGTCACTCTTGTGTCTCTCTGGCCAGCTTAGATTTCTGGGAACACGGAGTTTAATTGGACAAGGTCCTCTGCACAGTTAGAGGAGCGTAATGGTTTCATGTACATGTGATTGATGGATGGGTATGGATGCTCTGGTAGCCCGGTCTTGCATGCAGTGGAGGCAAGTAAGGCCTCATCAAACAGTATGATGTTTCCCAAGAACAGAGGTGAGGACTGCAGCAATTTACGGGAAGCACTGGCGCAATTCTGGGAGTGCATTTACCCCCTTGTGCAGCCACGATTTGAAAGTTGTATCCCATGGTCTTTGAAAGCTCCATCCTTTCCTTTACAAACTGATCCAGAAACAGACTTTGCTGGTGTTCTGCACAGTCCTTGCTTCAGCAGGATAGAGTGGGTGGTACTGCTTACTGCAGTGCAGGCACTATGAATGGTGCTGGTCCACATCCTTCTAGCTGATGGAGGGTACAGAAATACACACGCTTATCATTGCTTGTTTTGACGTTCTCTATTTCTTTGTTTCAGGATTAATCTCCCTCTACTTGACCGCACAATCCCAGATTATACCAGCTTCAACACTGTGGATGAGTGGCTGGATGCCATCAAGATGAGCCAGTACAAAGAGAGCTTTGCCAGTGCTGGCTTCACCACCTTTGACATAGTATCGCAGATGAGTGTAGAGTAAGTGCCCAGGTTTCAAGTCCCAAAGTACATGGAAAAGTCTCAGTAGTTTACCAACAATTGGCCATTAATAGATTTTTTTTATTATTATTATTTTTATATGATGTAGTTTTACTTTTATAGAATTTGTTACCTTGTGAACCCACTTTTTGTCTATTCTGTTTCTGCAGAAATGTCTGTGTTCTACACACTGTCTTGTGTCCAGACTGTGTGTGTAGCTTTGTATCTGCAGAATTCACTTCCACGCTGCCTGTCACCATTGTGAAAATGAAAACAATAATGAGGGTCTCCAAAGCCCCCACATGGGACAAATGGAGATTTCAGGCTGGCATCAGGCAGTTCTGCAGCTACTGGAGAACACTTTAAGACCCTAACATCCTCTTGCATGTTTGGTTTATTGGCAATGAAAACAAACACGCGGCAAACAAATTTCTCCTTAGGAAAGGCCTCTGAAATTCCATGTGGTTCCACTTTGGTCTAAATTGTCTTGTATCCACTCAAACTTTCCTCACTGGCAAAATTTTAGCAAGTTCTTCAGAGGGAGCAGGCAGTTGAAATCCAGTCGTGGTGGTTTTTGAAATCTCTTGGGATTAAGTGGGGCTTTGATTCCTCTGGGGAAGATTTGTAGTTGGTTGCAGTTAGATTTAGAAATCCTTCCTGAGAAAGCGCCAAGCATTATAGGCATCAGTAAGTGCTACGATGTCTCTGTGCATAGTAACTTGGAATGTTTATTGGATTTGGTGCCTATTTTCACACTTTAAAACTACCACTCAATCAGAATCCATTCACAGAAACAGCCAAACTGATCTTGTTTTGGCTTTCTGTTCTTATTTCCTGCCGGGAAATTCACATGGCAATTCTGGCTGTTTCAGTGTATCCGTGGTACAGCCCCAAGGCCCTGGGGATGGTTTTGGCACACTATAGGCTGTGTTCATACAAGAGGAAGAGGGCCTCACAAAATCTGAAGAACTTTGATCAGACTAGGACATCACACCCACACCTCAGCCCAACTCTGCTGAATCTTGTGGGTTCTCTTTGTGATATATCTAAAAGACATATTGCAGGCAGCCCAGCTAATGAGGTCTGCATCCTTCATGGACATGATCAGTGTCCCTTAATGCTATTTCTCCCAGTACCTCACTGTGTCCTTCACAATATCTTCCAAGTCCCTACCATGTGCCTTCAACACAATCAAAAGAGGACCCTCAGCTTCTTCCCATGTCTCTTCCACATTTGTCACCTGCTTGGCTGGACATAATAATAGAGATGATTAGAGTTCAAGCTGTTCCACCTGGACTGTCACAAGTCCATGGGGCCAGATGGGATCCAGCTGAGGGTGCAGAGGGAGCTGGTGGATGTGATTGCTGGGCTGCTTTCCATCATCTATCCGTGGTCATGGCTTGTTCTCATGTACTTTCTGGTTTGTTCTGATATGCTGTGTTTGTTTCTTTCCTCCCAAAGGGACATTCTGCGAGTTGGGGTCACTTTAGCAGGACACCAGAAGAAAATTCTGAACAGTATCCAGGTGATGAGAGCACAGATGAACCAAATTCAGTCTGTGGAGGTTTGATATCAACGTGTCCTCATGCTCCGCTTCCTTGAAGCCCTGCTCCCCTTTGCCCCTGTATGTCTGAGCTCTAGTTCTTGAGTGTTCTGCATGGATCAGAGACAGGCAGCTGCTCTGAGGATCATGGCAACAGGAAGAAATGCCCTATCATCAACAATGAATAGTCTCCAAGAGCTTCTAGAATTTAAACAATGGAAAAAGGGAACAACAAAATAAAAAAAAAAAAAGACAACTATTTTGAAAACAGACAGACAGACAATTATTTTTAAATAATAATAAAGCAATTGCATTCTTGAAAAGGGCTCCAAGACCAGGAGTCTCCAAAGGAAGAGAATAGAGCAGCTTCATCTATTTTCCTCTTGCACAAAGTTGCTGCAGCTGGGCCCAGACACCTCTGGAGCAATGAGATGTTTTCAAGAAGATGAATGCGAGGATAGATCCCGAGAAGCACTTCTCTTTCTCACATGGAGTGGCAGCTCTGGGGATGTCCTGCAGCCGGCAGTACTTTCTGAAAGCCCCTGTTAGCAAATCAAAGAGGAAAGAGAGCAGAGCTGAAGCTCTCTGGTGCTGTGGAACCAAGTGCATCTCAGAAATCGTTGGACTTCTTCAGAAGCTGAAGACATTCTTTTTTTTTTTTTTTTTTTTTTTTTAAACAAGTAAACTGAGACTAGAAGAGGCTGTTTCCGACAAATGAGAAGGAATCTGTAACACTTGGGTGGGGGTGGGGAATGGGGAAAACCAGTCCTTTTTACATCTCTTATTTTCTCTTGTCATGGAACAGTTTTGTGAGTGACAGTTTCCTAAGGGTCCGTCCATCCACCCTCCAATGGCATCATTGTTTCATACATATCATATGCACAAGACTTTTAGTGATGTCCTCACTCGATGCCAATGATCTTTTCCCAGAAGACTTCCCAAGTACAGTATGTAGTAGATTTTGATTACAAATGCTGACGTGTACCTTTATTTTTTGGTTGTCATTGTTGGGAGAATTGTCCTTTTACATTGCTTTGTTAACACCAATTTGTGAGTTTGGGGTTGGATTTTATTTTATTTTTTTTTTAATGAGAAGGAAATGACATTTCCAAGCGTCATATCATTCAAGAACTTAAATCCTTTCCTTGTGGAAGGAAAAAAAAATGCAGCTTATTGACAATATGCCAGGAGAATAAGTTTTTTATATGCACATTTCCTCATGTTTGCTTGTTTGTTATTTTGCAATTTGTCGTGGCCTGACAGATGTTTCTAACTGTTGGGTTTCCAGTTGTTCACCGAGATGAAGTGACCACCTGCTCAATGCAAGGTTGCTGGTGCAATGATGAGCAGCATCACAGAAGGGTTTTTTTTTGTTTGTTTGTTTTTTGTTTTTGTTTTACAGGGGGGAGGGAAAGACGGGGGAGGATAGATGTGTGGTGGGAGGGAACGGTGACTCCACAGCTGGCTGCCAGAGCCCCTTGGAGATGTCTGACTGCTTAGAAAAGTGTCAGAAGTGGGTCGGTGCATGTACCACAGAAAAGCAGGGTAAGCCTGGTCCTCTAAGAGGAGCTTAGCACACAGTTTCTCCGAGCCTGAATTGTATTAGCTGCTAGGTTGTGGATGCCTCACTACAGTAACCAAACTCTGTGGATGTGCTCTGTGCACTTTGGACACGCAGTCCCTTCGCTGGACAATGCACTGGGGGCTCTGAGACGGCTTCAGTCTCAGCCAGTTGCCTCTTGGAGAACCTGGGCGAGCAAAGGAAAAAAACTCATCTAGCAGCCCAGGTCTCTGGAGGAAAATGCCACGGCTGAAGCTGAATGGCCAGTCAGCGGATTTATAAATAACTGAAATAAATACTTTAGTTACTCAACAGGTCTTTGGTATGTGTAAATACCACCAACCAAGTGCAGGGGAAATACAAATGAGAATAATTGGACTAGTTATCCCTGTTCAGCACCATCTCATGTCTTCTGAAACATGCCTACCACCACCCACCTTCCCCTGGCCATTTGTGGCATATTTCCACACATCTCCTGGCCATATAACGTGAATTTACAAACTCTTGTCTGCCATTGCCATGTCATTCGTGGGGTTCTTCACTCAGTTTCAGCAGCATGGAGTGTTTGAAGGCATGTTTGTTGGGAGCTGGTTTGCTGTATTTTCCAGGAGCTGAATCCAAGAGGAAGTCTGTAGATGAAACTCCCAGGCTGTCTAGACCTCTGTGATCAGATATCATCTCCCTAGACTGCTTGCAATATGTGAGGCCATTTTTAAAGTACTTATAATTTTCTTCTTTCAGACCAGATCAGATGATGAAGCACATATGAGTAGCAGGAGACCATTCCCTGCAAATGAGTTACTTCTCTGCTTAGCTTTTTCGCTGGCCAAATGTTTGGTGCACAGCTTCATCAGCAGGGGCCTTAACTGAAGGAATTTTCCACCCAGCTCCTATTCGTGTTAGATCTGTACTGGTGGATTGCATTTTCTATTGTATATTGTATTTCCCTGCTCTTGCACCCAAAAGTACATCTGTAGTCATCAGATGAACATGAGCAGCAGATGTGTGCTGGGGGCTGTGGGATGTGTTCTGCTCTCAGTAACTACATTGCGTGCCCTCTGACAGCAGTGTTATATCCGATTATCTGCTGTAGGGCACAAGTGGAGAGAGTTCAGGGTGAGTGGGCAATAGGTGTGTTGTATGCAGGTGGTGCCTGGACATTTGGGCTGCCTGTCCTATAGCCAGCCTGCTTTAATGTGTGTATCTAGCTGAAGGGATGCTTCGAATGCCCTTGTGTTCAAAAACCGCTGCTCCTGACCAGGAAACAAACTCAGTTTTAAAGAGCAGCATGCAAAACATTGATGGTGCCAACTAAGCTACGGTGTTGTCAGAGGGCACACAGAGAAAAAAAAAAATTCCTCTCCACACCCCCTGTCCCACAGAACTGCTCTCATGGTGTGCCTCTTCCACAGCGTAGCTGCTCTGTTTTAACAATTCACAGCTGCCAGGTCCCCAAGGCATGGCTTTCCCCAGGGCACGTCTGAAGCTGTTTGGTGGCAGGCCAGGCTGAGGGAAGCGCGGTGCCGCGCCAAGCTGCCTGCCCACAGCCAGCCAGCTACTTTTTGTGCAGGGGAGCTCTGCAGTACAAGGAGAGCTGTCTGTCCAGAAAACTCACCAGCAAATTCCTGTGGGGCAGCCATGTGGAAGGAGTGCACGATCCCCTTCAGTTTTCTTTCCCAGACAGCTCCTGACTGCTCTGCACCCTCTGCTACACGCCTGCACGCACCAAGGACAAGCAACGGCCAGGCAGGATCCCCCTTCAGAGCCAGCCACTGTCAGACAGGGCTTGGAAGGACACTTCAGGTCATTTGAAGACGTTTTTTTCTTAATGCACTGAATCTCCTCACTGGCTAGCATCACACACATCTACCTACCAGACCCAAGCCACTGTGAAGGATGGGACCACACAGCTCAGTGCCACAACGCGCCAAAGCCATGGCAGCTGGGACAGAGAGAGCACATCTTTTATCTCGTCCTCTGACCAAAATCACATGTAACGAGTAACACATTCCATCTGATTACCAGGCACTGCTAGCATCATATCAGTCTGTATCTGATTGTGAAGGACTAATGGTGAATTGGACCTAAAATAGAAATGATCCGTAAAATACTTCAGTTTTCTGCATCCTTCCAGCTTTTCGGAGAGGATGAGGAACCAGGCTCCTGTAAAGTGCTCTGGTTGTAAATGCTTCTGGTGGATGCTGCAGTTGGTGGCAGTCACCAAAATGACTTTAATGATTTTATTTCATGAATATCAGTTGTGCTGCTGGGAAATATGAGTCTAATGGCAAAATTCAACTTCATGTGGAGAACAAGTAACAAGGGGAAGACACGTGACATTTACACTGTGAAATACTATGGTGCATGTGCATGTAACAAAAACCATCACAATGAGATTTTTTCAGGCATCTTGTTGCAGTTTTCACATTTTCCTTCCACCTTTCAAGCTAGCTTCAAGACCTACTCTTCTCCCCTGTTTTCTACTGCCATCTGTTGCTGAAGGTCACCCATGTCTTGTGCTGGCATCCAGCAGAAGAGCTGACCAGGCCATTAAGATGAAAATACTGTATTAGTTGGCCAGTGATAAAATCAAATCATATAGAGCATCAGGGAGCAGAGTGAAGAAAGCAAAGCATATATGGATAATAGAAAGGTAAAAGAATCACCACAGTGCTATATTTTATGGGTCATTTTCAACAGTTGCCACCAGCCCTTTACCTGGAAGTAGCAGCAAAGTTGTAAGCCAGGCAAAATGAAAAATGAGTTTTCAAGATAGAGCACTGCCAGGAGTCACGAGCTGTGGGGACACAGGCACAAGGCACTATGCACTGCACTGCCCCTCCACAAATTATCTTCTACCACCACCACCCCTAAAATCCCAGGTCTACCCTTCACAAACTTGATGGCGATTTGTGTCTTGCAGCGGCTGAGGATCTGCTTGTTACGGTCTGGCTTCTCCTCTCCGTGGTATTCCCTTTACCAAGCAGTAGCTTCCACTGGCAGTAACCTTCTGTGTAATCTGTGTAAATGCTGCTGTCACAGGGTTTAGCAATTATACAGTTATTACCTCAGTATTATGATTCAAATGTAGAGTTTTATCCCACAACTCCATGGCAGTCATAGTACAGCATAGCCTTGTTTGTGCTGACAGCATGCACCCGTGTTTCCATGTGCAGGGAGATATACACCATCGTATCCTGTGTAGGGCTAGGGAGAAAGCAGGGCTACACCTTCATGGACTCTGGCTTCGAAAACCTCCCATAAAGTGGCTGCTGTCCAGTGCAGAGATGGCTCCTGATCCGGCATTCATGAGCTAAGGTTAGAGGTTTTGTAGTAGGTGCTGGCTACGCAAATAATTTTTTTTCCCCACACCCCTTGAAGTCATTCTTTGTATTGGTGTCCAAGGAAAGATTCTTCCCAATAATGGTCATGCTGCAGATTAGCAGAGGCCTGTAGAGAAAACTCTTGGTGCGTTTGAGCAGCTGAGAAAATGTCTTGGTAAATTTTCTAGGCTGATTTGTATGAAACCTGCAATCAGGGCTTGAATTCTGCTGCATCAGTTGTATCCTCTAACAATATAATAAATCTGTGGCTGTCTTGGATTTATGAATCCAAAGTGCCTGGAAGTAACACTGTTGTCCAGTTTGTTTTAGTTGAGTCCATTTCTTTAATGCATTTCATCTTCCTTTCTGTGTGTCTGGCTTGAGACTGATTTAACGTAGGTCTTTTCCATCTTGAAAAATTTTACAAGTTCTTCACATATAGTATTCATCATTTCCCCCTTCAATGTCTTAAGAACAACTAACATTGCACCAACTTCATTGTTAACAGTCTGCTGGCAGTTATCCAATGTCATAAAAGACATCCTAAAATTTAATTTCTTTGCTGTGTTCCCCTCTTTCTATGCTGCGATCTCTTAGTGAAGCTAGTGCTTGACATGCCTTCAGCTCTAGGATCAACAATCCTTTATATCAGACAATTGAACTAAATTACATGTCATCAAAATTTCAGTCTGCTTTCTTTCCATGATTCTGCCCTGGATCTTTAGTCTGTGACTTGAGCACCAGTCCCGCCTGCTTATGATGTTGGTTCCACCATGTTCACAATTCAATGCACTGATTTCATCTTGTCATTGCCGAGAACTACTGGAGTTCTCCTACTATGCAAAATATTTTTTTTCTCTCTTCAGACTCATTTTGGCCTCATTTTTAGAATTCTCCAGGATGATTTTGCTTATTGCAGCTATTGAACACTTCCCAAAGACACGACACCACGTCTGTGTGTGTTTACTTTCATAATGTGATGCATTCCATAGTCCTAGAAAGCTCCCTGCATTTTGCAATTATTTTCTGAAATTTACTTTACTATTCTCTCTCTGTGTTAGTGCTACCCATTCTACTGTCTAATGTTAGTTGCAGAAATTTAGGGATAGAATCACGAGGTCTTCGCTCCCCTCAAATCTGTGTTTGTCTTAATTTTCATTCCGTGCTGTCCTACAAATAATTCAGCAGTTTCTGTTGTTCTCAGTTCTGTAAGAATTTTGCTCTTCTCTGCACTCGTGTGCTTTGTAGGAGAGCAGCAACAGTCCCACTCAAGTAATATGGTTTGATCACTGAATCATTTTTAGTCTAGCCATGGACTGTTTTTGTGGTCCCCGACTGCCATTCAACAAGCCAGAGGACTTAACCTCATGTGCCTCATATTTTTCAGAAGCCCTTTTTTTTTTCTTGAAAAAAAATTGCTTGATCCTTTTCCCATTGTTTCATTCCAGAAAATTTCAGGAATTTATCAGTTGTCTTAACTGTAGCTTCTGCTTCTACCTCTAGGGTCAGTCTCGAGTTCCTGCACAGACAGCATACTGTGTCCTTTGATAACTCTACGAAGTCTAAGAGGTAAAGAAATAATCCTTAATGAGTCTTTAATAGCCAAACAGCTATGTTAGCAAAACTAATGGAAGGAGTTCAAGGAAGCATGTTATCCTAGCCTGGGGTTAAAAGATACAGTCAAATCCCACTTTTCCCCCAAACTAATTCTTCTGCACTGCCCTCTTGTTGGCTCCAATCTGTGGTCTACAAGCTGGCTTAGGAGTTTGTAAAATAGAGGATGCCAAAAGCACCATACCCAACTGAAGAGGTCCTCATGCATTGTGGACACCACCCTGAGCCAGGTAGTGTGGCAAATCCACACCCTTGCTTGGTCTTTTCTAAGAATAAATGCAAAGTCTCTGCTAACAGATATTAGCACCCGATGGTCTTCACATAAGGATGATGTTATGAGCCAGTACTGAATGTACTGATGTACTTAATTCTCAAAGGGATACACAGAAACTAAGAAATATGCAAAGAAGGGCCACAGGAACAGCCAGAAGACTTTGGAAGTATGAGAGGGGACTAAATAGATTTTGATTCTAGGTATGACAGAGGCAAACGATGATATGAAATTTCATGCCATTAAATCAGGGAAGATGTGAGAAAGGTGAGTAGGAAGTAGTCACTATTTCTCGCAATAAGAGAAGGGCCACAGGTGAAGTGAAATATGCTGTGACAAAGCACAGTGATTGAATGCTGGAGCTCACTGCTGCAGGATGTTGATGCTAAGCATTAGATACTTTCAAAAGAGGATTCGGCAGATTTGTGAAAGTAAGATCTGTAGTAGCATCCTCAATGCAAAAATACCTCTTCTGTGGTTTTTTTTTTCTGGGTCATGGATGCCTGGGGGCATGGAGTGTGTGACACAACTCCTACTAGCACTGCTGTTATACCATCTTGTGACTGACACGTTATGGCTTTTTCTGGTGAAGGATTTCCACATGGAGACAGAGGGGTACTCCCCTGTCAGGGGAAAACACTCAATTCCTCCTCCCGGTTCCCTGTGTAACACGGGGCATCCCTGGGATTCACAACTGCAGCGTATCATCAGTGCTCCAAGCAGCAGTAATGGCACAAAAGGGAAGGCTTCTTGGTGGTCCATCATGCTGAATGTGGAAGCTCCCTGTGGAAGCATCCTTGTCTCAACTTTCTTTTCCGGTTCAGAGAACCTGAGGCATGGAGACAGCTGCTGGAGGAAGAAGTGTTCCCTTTCCTTCTAACATGGTTTGTTTTCTGACAGTGAGACTGTTGCACCTGCATTGGAGATTAGCTCAGCCTGCATGAGCAGTCTCTGCTGGCTGCATGGATATGAGTCCAAATAAATACACGAGAGCCTTAAGGATGAAAATTCAGGAAAGAAGCCTGGGACAAGCTTCTAAAATGGTCAAATATGTCTCAGTGCAATTCAGAGCTGGGCTAGGAGCCTGCAGTGAAAGCCAAGAGGCATCCCAGAGCACAAACCAAGCGTTGGGGCCTCCAGGACAAGACACAGTCGGGTATTAAGTGCAAGGTTCAGTTGTGAGTGCTGGGCCAGTTCTGAATTTGTTCTCTTATGTCCTGGGTACAACTTAGATCCAGACAAATCTTATGTGTCTTAGGATACCTTCATAGCATAAATAAAAAGCTATCTGAAACAGGCAATGATTCATTTCCCTCTTCTAAGTAGCCCAGGAATGTGGCAGAGGATCCTGTCTGAGGCAGAATGGACACTGGCTGTGTAGTCCTAACACCCTGCCGACCTCTCTAAGCTATGGAAGATGAGGAAGGGGACACACTATTTGTATTTTCTTCTGATCTATCTTGTTTGGCCCCCTCTAAGTCTGATCTCCAGTATGACTCTGTTCTTTCCTCTGCTCTAGAAGGGAAAGAACCAGCGTACTTCTAGCTGATGGCTTTATAAGCTCTCTGATGTGTTTTTTTTTCTCCTCTGAAAATCCCAGCTGCTGTGTTTATGATCCTGGAAGCACTGGGGTCATATGAAAATCACAGCCTTTATTGTAATTGGGGTAGTCCAAGCCTCATATGAGGAAGCAAAGTTGCATGGCTGCAGCTTCCATGCTGGCAAGCCCTGCTTCTACTGAGCACTGTGTCTGTCGGACCTTACCTGAGTACCTCACAGTCTGTAAAGCACACGTCCTAGAGACAAGCTAAGGCTTACCACAGGACCGAGGTACAGAGAAATAAAGACTGACAGCCACTGCAGAAGTCAAGGGTTTGTAGAGACATGAGCATGGACTGTCAGACAATTTTAGTGTCTTGGTTCCCAAACATGTGCCCCTCTTGCAAAGAGAGCAGTCCATGGCACACACAACTCTAGTACGCCAGTCTGTGCTCCTTCTAGAACCTCCGGATCCTCCAGATGCTGAGGTCATTGCTTCATTTCTCCCCTCTTCATCATGGCCTTCTTCAAACAAGACCACACATCTCATCACACCCCTTGTCCTAATGCTGGAGCAGGGGTGGGACAAATCAGGGACTGGGGAGGTTGCATCTGCTCCTTCACTTGTGAGCCAAAAGAGAGACCCAAAAGGATATTCTCTACTGGATCCCCTCCTTTTGTGACCTCATCTATTTTTCACATCGTGAACCTTACATCCCTTTTCTTTCTTATTGCTTGCCCCCTATCAGTTGCTGTCTCTTCTCTACATTGCTTTGTATATTCATCACGTAGAATCATAACATCTGCTTGGGTTGGAAGAGACTTAATCCAACCCCCTGCCATGGATAGGGACACGTCCCACTAGACCAGATTGCCCAAAACCCCATCCAGTCTGGTCTTGAACACTTCCAAGGATGAGGTATCCACAACTTCTCTGGACAACCTGTTCCAGCACCTCACAATCCTCACAGTGAGGAGTTTCTTCCAAATATCTACTCTAAATCTACTCCCCTTCAGTTTAAAACCACTGCCTCTTGTCCTATCACTATATGCCCTTGTAAAAAGTCTCTCTCCAGCTTTCTTGTTTCTGTGTCCTCTGTCCCTCTCCCAGGATAGAATAACAGGATGGGTTTGTACTCCAGGTACTCTTTTCCTTGGAGCTGTCTCAGCACATCTCTGCAGCAAACCTGTATTCAGTTACATTTCTTTTAACGAAACATCCCTCTCTGCCTGTCCTCCCTCAAAACATCAGCCACTTCACATCCCAGGTCTTTCTGAAGAAGGGTGTAGAAATTTATATGAAACTGGGGCAGGAGTGCCAGGATCCTTGGTCAATGTTCCCATGGAATAGTTCAAGGCAAAGGGTCCAACCCTACCTCTTACCAACAGGCAAATGAGCACAGCCATCAGTCTGGGCTTGAGAGTTCTCTACCAGTCTTTCATAAAACACCCATGCCCTCAACTTGTAATCCTGTAGGACTAAGATATCCATAAGGTCTCTGACAACGTAGTTATGTCGTGCCTCATCCTAGGGCAAAGGAAACCTTCAGATTGGTACTGGGCTGTGCAGCTGTAGGTTTGTTTTTCTTCTGTTTCCTCGTGAAGAGTTGGCTCAGCACAGAAACCCTGCTAAGTTTTGTGGGAGTGTTCAGTTGACTGAAGCCAGAGCCAAGCAGTAACAGGTCCTGCTGGAGAAACAATCACGGTGTTTCAAATTGCTGTCCTAGGTAATTTTGTGATGGCTGGACTTGATAATCTTAAGGGTCTTTTCCAACCTAAATGTTTTCATTCTACTCTGTGATCACCACTCACTTGGCCAAGCTATTCTCTGAGATGTGGTGGGTAGCAGGACACAGATGAGTTGTAATTAGGACCTCAAAGACCTCCATGCAAGCTGAGCTGGGAACAGATAGCCAAGCTACCCTCTGCAGCCTCAGATATTGTGTATCAATAGGTTTAGGACGAACTGAAGAGCCAACATAGCTGCCCATGTTTCTAAGACTTGCAGGAACAACCCGTCCCAGCTCAACAACTAGACCCCAGGTTAGCAAGGCACGGGAGAAAGAAAGAGAGTCCTGTAGGGAAGGCTTATGCTAAAGGCTGGAAGGTGATTTGGGGAGGTGGCAGTACTGTAGTAGGAGAGAGAGAGGTTGAGCATTGTGGCAACAAGTCCACCTGCTTGTCAGGACCTTAGATTACTGTGGAGTGCTTGCATGGCTCCTCCAACACAAAGTGGGAAGCAATCAACCTCGAATGGAAGAGTTGTGGAGAAACTGACTGTATCGTAGGGAAGTTTATAGGGAAATTTTGCCAGGCTCTGAGCTCCTCACAGCTTTGGCCAGCGTAGGATGGGGGAATTTTGTGAAACTTCAACTACTCCAAAACAAGCATTTCTAGTGAAATTCTCTTTTATCACCATTGGTCCAAGGATCCATCAGCTGGGCTCCAGGAGTATCCCCAACCTTAGTTTCCTACTGTTCATCATCCCATGTGTTGGTCATGGCCCTGTGGACAATGTAACATTTTTCATGACAACATTTGTATTTTTTTTAATTGTGAATGGGGAGATAGTGTGCAGGTCCTTGTTACACAGGGATGTGTCTTCCATTCAGATCAGGGCTTCCCCTGGCTTTGTCAGATGTCTTTCAATGTTACTGAGAAAAATAAATAAAGAAAGAAATCAGATGTATTTATAAAGGAAACAGAAACCCGCTGCTCCAATGCCTTTGTAGGAGTATTTTTAACAAAACATTTTTTCAAAATAAATGTGAATTGTAAAGTTTAAAGCATTTCCTTGTGGCTTTCTTTTCTAGGTGCTTTGCCTATCTTTTACCCTTCCCAAGATTCCTGCTTGAGTGTAAATATTGTGTTAGACAAACACATGGGTTATTGATCTCTTAGAGGGAGGAAAACATGCCCAGAACCTGCTTAATGGGAAATGACTTCAAAATAAACACACATCACTCTTAGCTGGCTTACATGATTTAGTCTGAATAATTAATCGGCAAATAAAGTCATTTGCTCCACTTGTAAATTATCCAAAAGAACACTTTTTTTTTTTTTTTTTTTTTTTTTTTTTTGCATTAACTTGTGTTTTAGTTAAAAAAATGCCACAAAATCATATGTGCACATATTAAGCATTTATGTAACTTCTTTGAACTTACAACTTCGGTGATGACGTTGCTTGGATGACATTTGTCAAGGAACAAGAGGTATGTTAGTCCAACAACATTTCAGCTGCCCAGTACAATGACACGCATTCTTAAAGAGGATAAGGAAAGAAGGCAATTCATTATCTAAGCAATCACATTCCTGCTTAAACCCAACACTGAAGGTAAATCATAGCTGTTTTCATGAAACTCCTGTTCCCTTCACAGCCCTGCATGTTAAAATAAAGTAAATAAATAAAATCACCTACATAAATGATCACTGCAGTTCAGATTCTATGGAAATGAACTTGATGCTCTTAATATAATTACTACCCCTAAATTCTTCCCTGCAATAATACTTCAACCCTTAAATTCACACAGAATGGGAGAACTGGGTGTAGTTTAGATGACCAATATGAATAATATAGCAAATAGACTCTATAGAACATTAGATATTATAATCTGACATTCAGCAGCAATAAAGAGTTTGACTTGCAATAAGAACATCAATAATTTAGTTCACAATCACAGACCTGTGATGTCTGTTTCTGTCACCCTCCTACTTCCTTTCCTAAGGAAAAAGATATTTTTGCATGCATGTCTCAGGAGAACCGTAGGTTTGTTTATAACTTTGAGGTAAATATTTCAGTAGTCATAAAACACTTCTGCACAGCTACATTTAAAAAGCAGGACCTGGATGTGTATCTAAATTTTTGGATCTGGACCTGAACCTGCCAGCTCCAGTCTCTGCACATGATCACTACATGACAGCTCTGAAATGTCAACCAGAAATACAAATGGAAAGCAACAGAACAAAACTGATGAACTGGGCAAGTCTTTCATTTAGGTATTACTCAGCATCATTACTTCTGGCAGGATAAATCTTGAAGTAGCCAAACAAGATGTAAGTTTGCTTCTTTCCATAGGGTCCTGGAAAGGCTCTAAAGGTGCTTGGGTCCAAAACATTTTTCCTGTGGTGACAATTCTTCTCGAGGCCCTGGAATTTATGAGCAGCTAGGGACAGAAGCCACTTGTTCAGTGTGTGTGTGGAGAAGGAGGACTGTAAAAATTGGGAACAAGGTAGTTCTGAGCCATCTGGAAGTGAGTACATCCAATGCTTGTCCATCCAGACACCAGCCCTCAGTCCATATGCAGAGCAATCACAGAGGAGGGTCTTGGCAAGACAACAAAGGCATTGCTTGTCTTTCCTGTCATGAAAACTTATATCCCATCTCACTGGACACTTCAGTTCACCAGGGAAGAGTGCTGTCTCCACCTAAAGCAAGACCTGATCTCTATTGGAAACCTATTGAATAAATGATAGGGTCAGCATTAGCTACCAAGGGCTTCCGGGGACAAACCTGAGGTTCTTCCCAAGTAAGCCACATTTTCAGCAATATTAGTGTCAGGTTGGTGCATTAGTCTGGGCCAGTCTGCTCCTGACTTGCCCATGACCAAGTCTTTCTCCACGAACCCTCTCAGCACCCCATTTCTCCTCCAAGCATTACTTTCTGCATCAGGTCTCCCACTCTCCCAAAGTATCCTTGTAATGTTGAGTGTTGCAAGACCCCAGTCACCTGGGTTCTTCCATGTGAGCTGCATCTATGAAGCACACGCAGAAAATTAGTGGAAGGTCCTCACCCCACTTGACAAACGTGAAACTGGTCTCACCTGGGCTGCTTCCAGTCTGCTTCCTTGCTTTCAGAACAAACCATTAAAAAGGAATCTCAGTTAGGTCTCATGTATAAACCTGATATACCCACCCTATAAGCTTTTCCTTTCCTGACCCAAGAAGGGAACTTTACAGGATAATGCTGTTTCTGTCCTCTGTCATCCATTCCCCAAGTAACTGATTGTTGCCTGGAGAGCCAGCTGGTAAGAAATTATCAGTGAAATATATGGCTCACATTCCCCTCTCCTTTCAACAAACAGCAGCACAAAATCTCCCTCAGAGCTTCTCCGCTACACTCCATGGAGACACCCTACTGCTTTCTGGGTGGTTTATATTTTTCTTCCATCACATTGATACAAATCATGCATAACTCAGTGAGCTTGAGTGGAAAAACACTTGATGAAAAACTGCTGCATAACCAGAATCTACCACGGGTGTCTAGGGTTCCAAAAATGATATTTACCTAAAGAATGACATTAGAGGGAGATCTGTCATTACATCTCAGCTCTCCCTGCAGATGCCACCTGGTTCAGACACACATGTGAAGTCAGGCTCCAAAGGGCTAAATCATGATGTCTAAAACTGCGTGATTATTTAAGCACTTATATTTCTGCCCCAGGAGACATAGATAGCTCCAAGATTTTCTGGATTGAACAGGAGATGCTGCACGGCTCGAAACCTGTTTAATTGCCTCTCCCACCTACATGTGTGTACTTCTGGGGCAGAATGGCAGCTCACTTACTCATATGCTAAGTGTTTTTATACTCTTTTGATAGAGCAGAATTACAGGAGGCACAGCTGTAAATTCTTTCTTGTCTCAGCTGGAGGGAAGGCCTGACTTCAGCTTGTCAACCAAGTATGAAGCATGAAGGCCAGGGACCCATATATGGAGCTGGATTTACACTTCATAGTCAAGTTCATCTTGAAGGAAACCTTAAAATCCAGAATGGTTTCCCTGTCCTCTCAAGAGAGTCTCTGTTCCCAGACATCAGGATTGAGGGATCTGTCTGCTTTCAACTACAGGACTAGCAACGAACCTTCAACATACCTTAATATTTGTGATAGTCTTAGGCGTGGTTCCCTGAAAAGACCTCAGATATGGCCTGTTAAATACTTACAGGATTTTTTAAGGACCTTCTTACATCTGCACAAAAACTGATGTGGTTGATGCTCTTCACAGTATTACTTTGTCAGGTTCAAGGTCTTAACAGCCTCATTCAGGATCATGCCATCATTAGTGGCCTCTGAAGCTTACCATACTCTGAAACTGCTAGCTCCAAAACTGCAACAATATCTGCAGCAGGAATGCACAGACTGGGTTATCATAATGGATTTCTCTTTAGCTCTCAGATGCATCACACTGTCTGCTCTGAATATTTTATGTTTGTTTGCCCATTTCTCTCCTATGAATTTTTTATGGATTATTTCTTTCTGATTTCATGTCATGATTCTTGTAATTTACTGCTGAAAGCAATGATTCCTGTGTTGTTGAGCTGATGAATATCCTTTCTGGTATAATGCTTGTTTCTGACACTGCCTTACAGCCTTCATGAAATTTTAATTTCTCTTTGCTTAGCTCTACGTTCACTTTCTCCCTTGGTACAATGCAGTGGAAGTCTTTGTAGTTCTGCTTATTCACAGATGCCTTCATGTCTCTTTCCCATTCAGCTTCCTGTTTGTTTGTGTGCTTCTGCCCTTATCTGGAGCTAGTCAGCGCTAAAAAAAAAATAAATAAAAAATACCTCTACCATTTTGGAATATGTTAGTACCATAAATGTATAATACATGATATTTTAAGGCACTGCTTGTATCCCAGGTATGATGGTTTGTTTCCTTGGCTTTTTCTGGTCAAACTTTCCTATAATGGTTGGTTTTACTATGATTACTAGATATAAATCTATTGTGAGATTTCTTTGAAAGGCATTACATTCGTTGTCTGCACATCTATTTTGCATATTTATCTCCCCTCTTCTGTATTTCTTTATTTGCTTTTCACAGTTTTGAGACATTTTTTGCTTCCTAGCTTTGTTTTCTTTGCTTACCTCCAGGTATGTTTCACTTTTTTTATTTGTGCTTATGAGCTTTGTTCATACCTCTGCCACCAAGACAAGTCAGGGTGTGGGTCTTGGTTGTTCTCATCAAGGCTTTTTTTTACCCTTTATCTTGTATGTGACTACTGTCAGGACATTTAGTAGCCAAACCAAATATAGTATATATCCTAACTTGTTCTTGGGCCAGTTCCACTGAGAACTCAGCCTTTTTCACTGCTACATCTCTTCATTCATCTACTCAGGGACAGGAGCTACCACACAGTTGTTTTTTTTTGTTGTTTTTTTTTTTTTGTTTGTTTGTTTGTTTTTTGTTGTTGTTTTTTTTTTTTTAATGCACTGCTATAGCTTTAGGATTTGCAACTCCTTTCTAACACACTTTTTAGTAGCAGAACATGATAAAAACTTTAACATTTCAGATCTTTTCAGAGACATCTGTAGTGAAGATTCCCATATGTTCCCAGGTATCATAGCATGATGAAAGTCTGGAACGGGATGGGGAGAACAAAGACTGAGCTGACGCTGGGCTCACAGGACATCAAGTACACTGCCAAGCAGTTCGGTTTTCCTGGAGTGTGCTACTGGGGGACCCTGGAGGGTCTAAAGGACTGTGGAAGTCTAAAGATCTAAAAGGACCTTGGAAGTTTTTCTTTCTGTGCATACAGCAATGATGACACCACGCCAGAAAATGTGTCCTGCCATGCACCCATTTCTCAGGTTGCCCAGGGTTAAGGATTAGCAGAAGAAAGCTTCAGCAGAAAACCATCCAGAAAGCGAAGTGGATCTTTGCACTGCTGTCCCCTCGTCTTCCACATCACCCGGTTATTTAGAGACAGTGTCTTGGAGGGGCTGGAGGAACGAACCTCTGGTGTCTCTGGGGTCCAACCTTACTCTCACAGCAGAGCTGTCCCCAGCATAAGATCACAGCAACAACAGCTTTGTCTAGATGAGTCTCAGAAATCCCAAATGGAAATCCCCCACCTGCCTGGTGGCCTGTCCCAGTGCTGCGCCACTCTTCTGGGAAAGGAGCTTTGTCTGGCATCCAACAAAGAGCCTTCAACTTGCAGCTTTTGCCACAGGTCTTCAAAAGATGCATATATGAAGAGACATCATCTTTTCTTCTCAGCTGTTATCTGAATAGACAGAATGATCTCTTTTAACCCTCTTCTGTCCAAACCTTCACAGACAATTAGTGCTGATTTTGGGGTTTTCTTTCTTTCTTTTTGTTTGGGGGTGGGGTGGTGTTGTTTATTTATTTTATTTATTTATTATATATATTATATAAAATTATTATATATTATTATATTATTGATTATTTTTGAATCCTTATCTGCGCTGTTTCCCAGTTTTGAGAACTGGTTTTTTTCTTTTTTTTTTTCTTTCTTTTTTTTCTTTCTTTTTTTTTCATTTCCTGGTGTCTCAAATCTATCTTTGTCATTGTTGATTTACATCTGTTTTAATATGATTTAAGCAGTGTGGTTTTGCATTTCACTCTCTTATTCTTTTATGCCATACATGTATTTTGTTAAAAATTGGAATGTATACAGAAGGTGCTTTGTTGTGATCGTGATGGAGAAATTCATCAAAACAGAAAATACAGCACTACTTGAATGAAGATCCAGGCTGACTACAAGCACAGTAAAAAATAAAACTCCAGATATTTGGATTTCTTGATAAAAATCAATTACAAGGAGATTTCTGGTCAATCTTATATCTCAATGGCCAGGATGAAAATAACATCTTAGCTAACCTGATCAGGACACATATACAAAGATGACACGTTTATGCTTGTTAGGACATTATTCACCAGAAGTTATGGAGCTCTGAATGCTAGGGGAAGATTTGCAGAGAAGGAAATAAATACAGTGTCATTATTCTTACAGTGGAAACCAAAGGATCAGTCACTAATTTACCAAACCAAGGAAAGGGTGGGGGGTGGGAGGGCAGTATGTTCAAATCAAAACAGAATTTTTGTTATTCTTTTGATGTTTTGTTGTTTTCATTAGGTAAAATGAAACATATATAAGTGCAAATTCCCTGAAGAATTTCATGGTACTTAAAACAACATTTTCTGCTTTTTCTCTGGTTCCACAAATTCTACGTGTCTTTCCTTTTTGTTTTATGAATACAAATGCTTACAAGTGCCATTTTGAACCAAAGGTAGGACTGTTTTATTTTAAATATGCCACAAGTAAACAGCCTAACTGTTCAGTAAATATGCAAAGGTCTATGTGTAAATGTTTGGTATTCAAAAAAACAAGCCAACAAGCAAACAAACAAACAAAAAACACAAACAAACCAAAACAACAAAAAACTCACCCCATTCTTTGTTCTTGAAAAAAAAAATGCCAAACATAACACAATTTTTGACTCTTTCCATCTTCCCTGAAATCTCCCTTCTTCGCAAATTTAGGGTTATTAATGTGAAATATGTTCATCTGATTCGTAACACACGTATACATATATGTGTATGTGTATTCTTGTGTAAGTGTGCATATAATTGTTCAGCTCCACTGGCAATTAGCCCTCGGTGAATGTAAACCCAAATGGCAGCAATTCTGATCCTATTGGAGAAGAATAAAATTCTGATTTTATTGGAGGATAAAGCTACAATTCAAAAAAAAAAAAAAAAAAAAAAAAAAACAGTGTGAATTTATATAAAGAATAAATAACAGCATAAATCTATGTGTTTGAGGAAAAGACAATAGAATGTTACAGATAAAACATTCTCTGAACCCTGGTAACAACCAGCAAATCTCAGTGTACCATGACAATAAATACATATGGACAGCACAGCCTAGTGGAATGAAAAAGGGGAAGAAAAGGGGAAGATGAACCAAGACATTAAAAACATTTTGTAGAGGTCAAAATCCTCTCTCTCTCTCTTTTTTTTTTTTTTTAATGTTTATGGGATGGGAAGGAAGATTAATCAATAATTAAATTTTTTCACTGGAAAGGTGTAAACTTTATTCATTTGTTTTATTGTCACATGGAAAGAAAGTGCATTTGCACTTTTTTTTTTCAGTCAACACAAGTTATCTAGATGTCAAATAGTCATTTGTGTACATTCTCTAGTGTTCTTTCCTACTGACTTTGGGGCTGGAGGATGTACTGCTCTGACTGATTTCCTCCCTGACTTTCACTCTGCAACTTTTGAAAACTTTGAAAACAGCAGTCTCATTTTATACCGGGCAGAAAGAAACTGTTTTTCTCTCCCATAGATCTGTTCAATTGTTTTTCTACCTTCCATCAGGCATAATCCATTAAGGTATTTTTCTTTCCCTTGCTTTGTGTATGATAAAACAATATTAAACTACTTCGATGAGGTCTGTCCCTGCCCTTTCCTGTGTCATGTGCTTCATTTGCTGAACGTCTTTCAAATTATTTTCAAATAATTCCATAGTACTTACAGTTTTCTATGCTGAGCCTCTTTCTCCTGTATTTGCATTTTCTTATGATTATCTCTTTTTCAGTAGCATTTTTATGATGTTCTGAATGTTACCTGGGTAGCACACACCATTTTCGCAGACATGCCATTTGTCCCTCTCCCATAGCATTATTACAGATCATTGAAATGGATGTTAGCTGCCTGGTCTATCAGTAGTGGCACAATGCTCAGGCTAATGACAGTCTCCTGATGACCCAACACTATTTCTGATCACACGCCTCTTCAAATTAACACATTGACTAGTCCTGCAGGCAACAGCGCTGGTAGTTATTCCCCAGCATCCTTTACAGCTACTGTCCTGCTGAAAGCCTTTAAAATACTTGATGACTAAGAAACGTCCAGAAATTGAAGACTTATAAGCAAGATTTTGTTGTGTTTTCTATCCCCCTACCAACTAGTTAGATTTTGCCTAAACTTAAAGTTGAGTCTGACAACAAGCAGTATGCTAACATCAATAGGACAGTAAAGTGCTATCACCAGCTGTGACAAATTTCTTACTTTCTACCTCTGTTTTCATACAGGTTAATGTGAAGAAATTTAATGCACAAAGAAGAAATGTCTGTCTTCACTCACAAGAGTGTGGCGATATTGTTCACAGAGTGAGCAGAGTTAGAGAAATGATCCCACAACAAGCAATCAAAGTAGTACAAAAAGGAGGGAATACAGTAATTTTAACTTTCTTTGAATTTCGTGTGACAGTGTATTATTCTGATTAACTGATGGACATACATTAGAAAGGAATAAAGGACCATGTCCATGAATTATGGACTACAAAATATTTATTCTGCACCCACAATCCATTTTCAGCTTCAGGCTGTAAAAATCATCTCTTCCTTAGTGCAAGACCAGTCCATGGTCTGCATCCCCCTGTACATTTTTCATTATCACTGCCATTACCTCTGGTAACTAGAGGTAACTAATAATAAGAACTTAATAATGGTAACTGATCTCTACCTGTCCAGGGTATCTGTAGGCCATATTTTTGCAGCATCTTCCTCTGTGAGTCTTCAGAGACTCTCCCACCAGAAGGCATCTTTATGACTTTGTAGCCTGATTTTCTTCATAGCCCATGCCACAGGTTATTCCTGATTAAATTACTACTTATAGAGACAAAGATGCTTCAGATAAATTTATTTCCACAACCATTGGTAATGGCACTTACTTGGCAGCCCTGGGTTCCCATTAGATGGAACACTTGAGTAATTAGTATATCTACTTTTTTTTCTGCCAGTCCTATCTGAAGACTTTCTTTAATCAGCTTTTGCCTTACATAAGGGCACACACCCGCTACTCTGGTTAAAGGAAAAGCTAATGCTTGGCAATTTCAGTGGAGCTTTTCCATCCAACTTCTACTGGCAAAAACATTTCAGGGAAAAAAAAAAAAATCAAGGTCACAGGAAAGCTTGCCAATTCAAACTGCTCAGTGGCCTGGATTTATGATTTATTTTTTTTTTTCCAATTAAATTCACGTTCCCTAAGTGGGGATTTCACACCCCTTGTGTTAAGTAAATTGGTGTCTGGATTTTTATGAGCTTTGGCAGGAAAAAGTATCCAGTGAACCAAGAAAAATACCGAGCTTTTGGATGGAAGCACCCAGGATTTCAGGCTTACATCTGAACCAAAGAAATGATTGTGAGAAGTCCTTTGATGAGTGAAGACAATCATTTTGATGCAATTTATAATTAAATATTGTTGTGTATCTCTGTTCTTCCAGAACATCCTCCTGTCACTGGAGTTTCATTTGGTTTATTTATGCATCGGTGATGTATTTTGAATGCCTCTCTAACATTGATGGATATTACACTTGATGTTTTTCCTTATGTCCCTTTGGTGGTGCAAATGTGAGAAAGGGCAATGAACTTTCGGTGACTCTCTTGTATAACTAAAAAAAAGATTTCTTCATCGGGTTCAAAAGTTCAGCGCGTCAAGAGAAATCATCTTCTTGGTGCCATTGCACACAGGGTGGGAGAATTTTGGGGGAGGCTCTATCTTACAGTAAAAGATAATTATTCTGGGATGCAAATTTGGTAATTCTCACCAATGGTGGTTTTCAAATTACCATGTTGATAAATTGTTTGTTGTGTTTTTATTAACCTCTGTGACCTAACAGAGTGGGTTTGCATACTGCAAGCGGCTTACACTGAAGGACAAAAAGCTCTTGGCACACCATTCGTTGTGGTAATAGCGCCTCAGGGTCCCTTCAGTATCTGCTTCGCTGAGGTTGGTAAAGTCAAAAAAACAAGGCCTTTCGATTGACAGCAGCGAAAATGATGGTAAGGAAACATGGAGAAAGAGCAAAGAAAAAAAAATCCCACCAATTTCATCCCTCTTCACAAATGCTCACTGATCTTGGGACTTGGGCCTATCCATACGCAACCTTTCTTCAGTGCACACTCATCTGCAGGCCTTTGAAAGCCAGTTAAGTCCAAAACCAAACGTGTTGGCAACAAAAGTCCATTCTGGAAAAGGGCCACCACAGAAAAACCTGGTAAACTTTTGTGCATGGGAAACATAAATGAAAAATAAATGAGATCCACCCCAAAAGAAACCAAACCAAACCAAAACCAAACCACCCATCAAAAACAAAACAAAACAAAAAAATAACAGAACCCCAACCCAGCAACTTTGACGTAGTTAGTGAGAACAGCTTTTTATAGTAAATAGCTTCTCTAGGTGAGAGGTTATAGACCCAAATGGAGCATCAAGTCACTGAACTACTGAGCAAAAACCACTGATGGAGGACACCTTGATCATCGTACAATTTTTCCTTAGGACGTTTATGTGCTCTGAGGCAGACAAGCAAAACAATTCAACAGGATCCTCAACAGAGAATGGCATTTTCTCCATGAAGCAGGGTGTTTTCAGGGTGTAGTTTTTGACCAATAGCATCTTTCAGCTAAACATCTCTTCCCTGTGGAGTACAGAATCATAAAATCATTAAGGTTGGAAAAAACTTTCAGGATCATCTGGTCCAACCGTCACCCTACTACCAATGTCAACCATGTCCCTAAGCACCACATCCAACCTCTCCTTAAACACCCCCAGTGACGGTGACTCCACCACTTCCCTGGGCAACCCATCCCAATGCCTGACTGCTCTTTCTGAGAAGAAATGTCTCCTCATTTCCAACCTGAACCTCCCCTGGCACAACTTGAGGCCATTCCCTCCAGTCAATGGTGGGGCAGAAGTGCTCTTCTCAAGCCATCCTGATGTCCGTGTGGCTAATCATCACTTTGAGGGCCCTGCCACTGACTTTTCGTGAATCCCAGCTCACATGGCTGCCAGTAGGACTGTGTACACAACAAGAGAATCCTGGAAAGCTCCCAGAAACAATCATATTATGCTGTATGCACATCTCCAAGGTTGCATCTTCCTGGTCAAATAAAACATGTGGCTAACATATCCTTCTGTCCTGGTTTCAGCTAGGATAGAGTTAATTTTCCTCCTAGTAGTTGGCATGGTGCTGTGCTTTGGATTTAGGATAAGAATAATGTTAATAACATGCTGATGGTTTAATTGTTGCAGAGCAGTGCTTACACTAAGCCAAGGACTTTTCAGCTTCTCATGTGTGTGCAGAAATGTATGTATCCATATCTACATACATGTAAGTAACAAAGTTTTGCAATGGTTTGAGTTTGCTTAGTGAACCCCAGAAAATGAGCAAGGTAAATTATCCTAATGGAGCTCCACCCAGAGACAGGACTCTTCTGGTATCCTCTCTTGTGTGTTTGCAGCAGATCAACAGTCTTCATAAAGCACCATAATAGACAGTGTAGGAAAAAAATAAAATAAAATAAATAAATCTGGAAAGTGCCTTACATTAAAGACAGAAAAACAGTGTGACAAATACCTTACTACATCCAATGATGTGAGCATCAGAAAATGCCTGCAGAGTCTTAGTTCAATCTTCTTTGTAACAGCTTTCAAATAGATGCAGCTGCAATTAAATCTTCCTTCAAATCCTTCTCCACCTGGTTAACCCAACCCCACTCTTCACCTCTCCTTGTGGGCCCTGTGACCCAGGTCTGACTGTCTTCATTGGCATCAGCTGGTCTTTCTCTATTTTATCCATACCCTCTTGAAATAGCCACAAACCTATTCACAAGAACCAAAACAGCCACAAGAAATCCTATTTGTTTTCACTGGTACTGACTGGAGAGGAAATTCCTTTATTTGGCTTGCCACAATCTTCCTAATGTTGCTTAGGTTGTGGTTTTCCATATCTGCAAGGAGGGCAGCCTCTTGGCAAATATTCAGACTTGCATCCATAATTTCCTCCAGGAGGACTTGTGAATTTTCAAGATAGCTGAAAACATCCTCTGCTGTCAGACAAGGGACTTGAGCTGATTTGGAATGACTCTGGGATGTTGCAAAGCCTGAATTGGCCTGAACATAATGGAGAACACTAGTCAAGTGCATCTTGCCAAACCCTTCTCTTTAAAACGCATGTACATGTAGGTTGGTGTTTAACCAAGATACCTTTATTTGGGTAAAAGTTTGTCAACTGGTTTGAGTGCTTCCCCTTCAGCAGAAAGTGACAGACATCTCCCCAGAATGACTCTCCTTACCTCAGATGATGTGATGCTCTTCATTTAGAGAAGAAGCATGCCAAGAGAGAGTTCAGAAAAACTCAGACACGTGGAGCTAGCAGAATTGTTCTTACCACTGTTGGCCATCAAAACTCAGATTGAATGTGTATTTGTTAGTGTCTCTGGGACACATGCACCACACTGGACTGTTCCCCCTGGTTTGACTGGGCAGAGGAATCACTTCCAGTTGGGTACAATATCATGTTTCTTCTGTAATGAGATCCATCCCACTTGCAGCCTTCCAAGTGAGACAGCTCCTGTCCACAAACCCTCACGCACACTTCTGAGATAACCACTTGTACCAGCTCTTTTCCATGTAGGAAAAATTTCATCTTCTCTGTGATACCACCAGCCAAAAATATTTGTTTCTTCATCTATATTTACATGATCTACCTGGAAATATTAGATAGGAAGGGATAAAACTTTGAATTTCAGGAGGCTATTTCTCTGGGATGGTCTCTGTTAAGGCTGAGAGAGGTATTTCATGAGTAGTTGTGCATCAACAAATATGTTGCATGTGGAGACAATTCTTCGCTTGGGTCCTTGGCACGCTGGGAAAAGTTTTTTTTTTAGAAAATAGCTTGAGCTGCTGACAGTAATGCACTGGTTCAGCAGAGCAGCAGATTGCCTCTGTTTGGAAAGTGGGAAAGTCACTCCCAGTGCTTGCTGAGATGTTTGCAAAATGAGCATGCTCATCTTTACAAACTGATCTTAGAAGAGTGTTTTGGCTAGAATGTATGTATGGGGTGTTCATGCCAGTGAAGGAGATGAAGCTAAAATTTTCAAAAGGGTGACTGTGGCAACTGACTTATTGTGGAAAAAGAAAAACAAAACAAAACAAAAAGATGATGTGAATTGTTTTTGCAGTCTCCAGTACGGAAGGTCAGCAGGCAGTTTCAGTGCACCCTTTGTTACTTGTTTGGGGGCCAGCTCTGTCTCTGGTCATTTTTTCTTCTTGGTTAGTGCTCCGTGACTGATGAGGATCTCAGTAAAACACAAATTGATTTGCTTGGCTTTCGTGGTCACCTCTGGACTGTAATTACTCAGGCAGGAAAAATTAATTAGTCCAGTGTGGGCCGACTGCTGCTCTCCGAGCACTGCTGAATCTTAATTGGAGAGCTCCAGAGAAAGGTGCTGATTCACAGCATTGCACGATGGGGTGGGGATTTTAGTGAAGACACAAGGTGGAGGAGAGAAGGGAGCTGAAGGTCAAGATGAGGTATGTTTCCAGCTCCACCTTTAAGTGTGGTACCTTCTTCCCTCTGTTTCACTGTGATAATGAGAACATTAAAGCCTGCTTACCACAGTAGTGCCCCTAATAATGCCACTGTATATCAGCAAATGATACAGCAACAGGGAAGACAATGGAGCCAGCTGTAGGGCCCATCATAGGGGTTAGAAGGGTTGCAGAGAACATCACAGGGGTTGCAGGGGCTGCAGGGTGGGCCATAGGTTTGAATCAAGTCAAGATGCATTTTCCTAGAACCAGACATTTCCTCCTGAAGGGGCTGAATAGCACTGAATGGTCTTCAAAATGCACAGAGGAGACCGAGCAAACGTACAGCTGCTGCTAGGAAGTAGTTAATTATTTTTTTTAATTTTATTAACTTGCTTCCCAATCTTCAGACATAGGCCAGCCCTTAGAGATGAAAAAGAACAAGAACAAGAAATGGATTAAGGAGAAACAGGTAAAAAAAAAAAAAAAAAAAAAAAAAAAAGGAAATGAAAAAAGCATCCTCACTTGCAGGGCAGTAGAAGATGCAGAAAAGGCCTTGCCTTAGTGGCAGCACTGCCCTGCAAGAGCTCCAACTTCCCTCTTAGCAGCACGCTTAGCCCCAAAATGCCCCCAAAACGGCACATTTCAGCTACTGGGAAGGAAATGAGCTCTGTCACGTTGAGCTAACTGCTCAAGGCCCTGCTCTTTGGCCCAGGTGTCTGTGAGGCGGTGTTGGCAAGGAGTCCTGTTGTGTGAGTCAGTTCTTTGTGGGTGCTCCGTCCCCACCAGGCTTGCTTTGGAAGGCCCAGGAGAGTCTTGTGGGCACTGGCCTGGGGTCCCAGGCTGAGCCAGCTGCTGGCAATCAGGGAGGCTCGCTCAGTGTCTTGGCTTGGGTTTGCGTGGCCAGGCTGTGGGAGCGGGGGGCTGCAGGAGTGTCCCCTGTGAGGAGAATGCAGCAGCTGCCCCATGGGAGCTCAGGGCCGCTTCCAGGAGGCTCCAGAGGGAGCATACCCTTGTCATACCCTTTTTGATCTGGGTGGAGGGAGAGGGCATTGGGATTGAACATACATAGAGTACTTAGGATTGGATAACAGAACCACTCAATAGATGCATATGGTAACTTCTCCCTGCTAGTCACAGTCGTTTCCCAGTCTGCGGTTTTGCTTATCTGCCATTAGAGTGCACTGTTGACTCACATTTAGTTTGTCATCTACTACCTCCCAGTTCCTCTCTGCTGGGCTAACCAATTGCTTCCCAGTCTGTACTGAAGTCCAGGTTATCCTGGCTCAGGTACAGAGCTTGGTCCTTCTAGCTGCAGAACTTCATGAGGTTACTTTTGGCCCAGGCCTGAGGTTTGCTGTGGTGCCTCTGGACTGATGCTCTGCTGTGTGCTGGCTGCTTCCTTGTATTTAGTGTTGTCTACAAATTTGGTGAGAGTGCATCAGAGTCATCATCCAGAAAGCATATGAAGATATTGAGATGTGTGAGGCCACTGCTAGACCCCTAGATTCTTTGGTTGTTACACAAAGTCAACGAGATGTCATTCTGCTGCCTTCTGAGATAGGTGGTCCATTACTACAGCCTTTAAACAAAAATATATTTCACTACATTATCTAAATTGTGCCCAATTATCTGTTCCACCACCTTCACGCTACCTCCACTGCCTCCCACCTCCTCCAGGCTGTGGCCTGGAGGAGGCTGCGGCCCATGGAAAGCCCCCGCAGGAGCAGGCCCCGGGCCGGAGCTGCAGCCATGGAGAGGAGCCCACAGGGAGCAGGGGCAGAGAGGAACCATTGAAGAGGGAACTGTATCCTCTTTTTTCATGGGTGCTGAGATTGAGGATCAGGATTTCGTGGTAGGAATTTGTTTAGATGAACCAATTTACATCCATATTGGTTTTGTATGTTTGTTTCACCTTGTCTTGCAGGACCATCTTGGCTGGGTCTGCAGTGTTGTGCAAAAGTGAAGTTTTTCATAATAAAGAGCAGCTTTTTTTTAGGGGAAAAGGCTGAGGTGGCCTTCATCAGAGTATTGTGACCTGAAAATGCAGCTCCCTTAGGCCAAGATGACAGCACAGATCTCTGAGTGACAGGGTAAAGCTAGTATTTTCGGGTATCAGTGGCAAAGCTTAGTGTGGAGACAAATGTCAGCATCAGTCCCCCAGCAAACCAGGGTAGCATCTGGTGACTATCTCTGGACAGCCATCACTGTATGCCAAAGACAAAATTATGCAGCCATGAGAAAAAGAGTATTTTCGTGCTGAAGCATGAAAGGGAGACATTTACTGAACAGAAGTGCAGGCAGAGTTAAAATGACTGATAATCTCTGGTGATCTCCTCCAGCCTTCTCAATGCTCTGCATCCTTTGTACAATTGTGAGAGGATTTAGAGGCAAAAGTCTGACAGGTTTTATAGGACTCAGCTGTTTACAATACTACTGCCGCTTATGAGGTGTGTGTCATGGACAACAGCTTCCTTCTCATTAGCAGAGCATTGTGTATCTTGCTCTGGCGTATGGACTTACTCCACAGGCCAGTGCTGCCAGCGGGGACAGATCAGAAGGAGTTCCTTGTAATTAGTGCTGCTCTCATGAATGTATTGTACCTGCTGGGACTTTATGAGCTACCTCTTGCCATGCAGCACAGAGACTGATGGCCACTGGGGTCAGCCAGGACTGTGTCCCTTAGCTGTTCTCTGCTGTAACAAGGCCTGGCTGTTGGATGTTGTCTCTGCTCTACTTCTGTGGTGCACAGAAGTTTGCTGTCCGGAGAAGATGAGGCCTCTGGGCATGACATTTTGGTAGAATGCAATAGCTTGTACTAGTACAAAGCTGGGCTACATTGAGTCAGATTCTCTCTGGCCTTTGAAGGACGTGGTGATCTGAAGGAAAGTACAGGAGAGCAGGAACCAAACCTTAATCTGACCAGTAATTTAACGATGTTGCTGCTGACTTTTCCTACCTTGCAGCAGGCCCCACGCTATTTTTGTCTGACTAAAACAATGGCAGAGTATGTTGGATTTTGCAGAGTGGAGAGTCCAAACGGCCAGAGGCATGTGCTCAAGGACGCAGAGGTGGCATGGTCATGTAGCCCCAGCTGGTCATTGTGGAGTCCCAAGAACAAATCCTCCTGGTGATGGACACTATGAAAACTTACATTAAGGGAAAAAATAAACCCCTAATGCTTGGTGACATGAGGTGAGCAGACCAAGTTCTTTGAGGAAGTAAATACTTGGAGAGA